GTTAAGCTGCTGGTTGATGGGTTAAAGGTCACTATAATGGGAAGGAAGCTACCTCAAGAAGATTGGGATCTGGTTGTCGACCCAGTTATCCATGCTATCAATACACGGATTCTTAGTGTCCACGGGTTTAGCCCAGCGGAGTTGCTGTTAGGATTCAACCCAAACAGGACAGGCTGGGAGGTTAGACCAGATACAGAATGTGCGGTAGCGGCATTATCTACGAGCATCAGTCAGGGAAGAGACCCATGGGACAGGGAAGAAGAGCTTGCACAGCGGCAGCTAGAGCGGCTTGCACGGTTAGATCATGTCCGGATGGAGGCTGCTACACAGGTTGTGGATCATGCGGAAGTGCGCGAAACCTGGCAAAGAGTACCCCGCTACAACCCACCGAAGGCAGGCGATTTAGTCCTATTGCGCAGGTTCCTTTTGGATCAGCGCCGAGGAAGCAAGTTGGAAGCTCAATGGGAGGGACCATATCTCCTTGGAGACCTCGCATGGCATGGAAGAAGTGGGCGGCTCTATGATATCAATACACGGGAGTTGGTACGGGTTAAGAAGGAAGGTTTGAAGGATCGTGTCCATCTGAACGATTTAAAGCTGTATCTGACACATCCAACGGTCACGGAGGAGGCAAATTTGGTAGATTTGTATGAGTATGGGAAGGAGGAACAGGGGAAAGCGATTGGGGAAGTGTACGACCTCAGCAGTGGAACGAAAGAGACACAGAGGGGAAGAGACGCACATGTGCACTGGTGGGATGAGACTGACGGCATTGGGTAGTAAGGTGTGGAGAGAAGATGCAGGGTGGCAGGATCATGAGGGGTCACTCGGCGGATGAATAGGCGAGCTGTAGGAAGTATATGGTAGACTAAATTGTTCCTGGGAGAGATGTTTTGTTGGCCATCGGGGGCGAAGGCTGAGGAGGAGGATCCTTGTGACCTAGTGGGATAGGGCAGGGTAGTTTAGCAGTCATGCGGGTCATTTCGTCACCCACTAAAAAGTTTTGTTTATCGTTTACGTGGCATGTATCGTTTTGTGTATTTAAGCCACCTTGTTTTTCTGTAGTTTAGGAGAGAGGGACCATTGGGGGCACACCATAGGAAAATCACCACTCATCAGTTCTTTTAAATTGACCGAGCCACAGTTTCTTTTAGCCTACCCTTGCATAGTGGGTTTGTCGATAGTGGGTTGGGTCAATTCTGCACTTATCTATTGTGTAGGTTAACGAGAGGTCACGACTGCATCACGGAGGTGGGATACAACATGCGCAACACACCATCCAATCAACGCGAGTAGAAGAAACAGCGCGACACCGGTATGGTAGAAAGCAGTGGAAAAAAACCAGCATCATCATTATGGGCAGTTGGGAGAGAGGGTGGAAAAATCCTTGTCTTGGCAGACACCAGAAATCCGGAGGGAAGGAATAGGCCGCATGATAGGTATCATAATATTATCATACGGTACTGTATCTTAGTATGGTACAGTACTGTACAACACATTTCAGCTCTAATACTTGCATCAATGGGCAACTCGATCTATTCATTTATGAGCCTCTTAAAAGTACCATTCCGAAACCCCTTGTTCCCTCCCCCAGGCTCCAATTCGGCCTTGTATTATTCAGAATTATAAATGATCAATTGGTGCAACTACTCTATTTAATAGCATCCTATAACACACCTATTTTCCACTTGCAGGAAAATCGATTGGTGCTCCCACTCCTTGCACCCAACTTCTTCCGCCCTTCCCCATTCCTGACAGTGCCCATCAAGCGGTGGTGGGGGGGAATGTGAAGCTACTGGTATCATAAACAAGACTTTTAGGGCGCGTCTAGTCGCCACGCCGAACCTTCGTTTTGACCCTAATTTATTTCTTTTTCTCCTCTCCCCTCCCGATGCAGGGCATGCACAAGTGCGAGGATGTATCTGTACTGTACTTGTTCCCGTATAAGTTCCTGATGAATACTTTTCTGTTTCCTGCTACTCGAGTGCATAGGATAAATTTCCCTGTTGGAATGAAGGTCCTCCCCTCTACTTGAGGCTCTGTGTTGGGGCCTTAAATTTTTTTGCCCATAGCCATGATTGATGATTAAATTTCGACACAAGTACTTGTGCTCGGGGAGATGTTTTTGCGCAAGGCAATGATTATTCTTCAGGCTAACCAAACTTAACTGTTCACTAACTTTCTTCCGCGCGCATGGAACGTTGTTATTATTTATTCATGTTTATTTTGAGGGGGTTGGAGTTTCTTATGATAGGAGTTTTAAGCCATACCCTGTTTTTCAGTGCTTGCTATGGGTTTCCCTGTACGTACGAGTACGAGTACAGTGTTTTAGAAATCTACGGAGTTAACGAAAAATCCTTTTCCACTCCCCGTAAATGCACTTCTATGCTTTGTACTCCAAGTATCGTGCATGGTACGTACTGTACTACGTGAAGTCTGGATCTGCCCCCATGAACTGACAAAAAAAGTTGTGTACTCGAGTACTCGAGTGCTGGTATGGGTGTGAAGGGTGGGTGACAATGGAGGGCGAGTATAACACAGGGGGAAATTCCAGGGTATTGGAGCCGGGTCTGAGAGCTTGAATCAACCTTTCTTGTCTAATGATGCGTCCCAGGAGGGTCTCATAGGCTACATGATAAAATCCCTTTTTGGGTGACTCTCTCGTTCGGTGGACCATCCTACTATATTTGATACTAATCAAAATCCCGACGGCAGTGCGTAGATATCATATCCAAACTAGACCTGTATGGGGGTGGCATTCCGATTAATACCAGCATAGAGCAGAATATCGCCGTGCTTAGATGTGACAAGCTTTGTTGCAGGGGCTTAGGACAAATTTTCTTAAGAACATACTCAAGTAGCTATGATATCATGACAACCCAATGAACCGGTGCTGAGATGCTGAGGAAAGGGTTTCGATATAAGTCACGGTGCGGGCACTGTAGGGCACACAATGAGGTTGGTGTGCTCGCGCGCCTTCCTTTGACAAGAAGACGCCCCCACCCGCAAATATTTCGCCGGATAATTGGTAAGGTCCACCAAGTATCGGGTAGTGGAGGCGGACTTGGCAAAGACGCACGAGTACGGTACGGTGCTGTGCTTGTACCACTACTCGAGTACAGTACCGGTAGGTCAGATAGTGCCTCTGGTATCATACCGTACGGTATTGGGGTGGCCACTGTGGGTGGTGCAACGACACAGCCTGTGCATGATATTCTCAGAGCACAGCCAGTATGACATGACAGCCATGCGCCTGTATTATCATAGGATGGCCGAAATGAGCTATGATATGGCACCCAGCAAATGGGGCTCTCATGCTTGGCTATTTTCGCAGTTTCGGTCGGGCTTGGGTTGTACCCGGATTGTTCGAACGACATGGACCGCCAAAACCGCGTACCAGTACCGGCAAAAAAGGCGGTTTTGCAAGTATCATACCGGTACCGGTCCCGGAATCGGTTTTGAAGCCGGTTTTTATTTATCTAGGCGCTAGGGTTTGGCTTCCCGCTAACCAAATATGATGCTGGCTTGCATCCTAGTTGAATTAAACTTTTGAGCTCCAGTCACTTTCTGTGGGAATTGCCACCTTAGATGTCCAACTTCAACTCCACCGCGGGAGGTATTAGACTACCGGTGCAGCACTTACTGCAACTGCCACCTTCACCTTTAGCTTGAAATATTTTATTTCACACTACTTGCGCTGATCCGCATGTGTCTTTAGTCTATCAATTGGTCCGTACGCTACCGTAAATTCTGGGTAAACTCGACCCGCCGCTACTATCCGTATGCCAATTACTACCCCTAGAACAGAACATTTGCCACGGGATCAGGTCTTAAGAGAGCTAGTGGCTACCTTACAAGTAAGAAGTACAGCGGCGGGCCAAATTCACCCAGAATTTCCGGTGCTCTATGTTCCGCAAACACCCTCGTAAAACCGGAGTAGAAAAACTGGACAGCACTCATGCCGAACTGTTGAAATGGCTCTATGGTTCCGGTTTCGTTTCTAAACCTGAGTGCCCCAATGAGTATCAATGATAAGATATCGGTATACGATACTCAGGAGAACAAAGACTACCCCCATCACAATGAGAAGTGAAGAACCTCCAGGTAGATTTCCGGCACTCATGATCAGTGCAGAGAGGTACGTTATTGGAGATTTGTGCCGTACGGTACAGGGGTTGATCGTGAATTTATGGTATTGAGCAGGGATAGTCACCCTCCTTATGATGGTAATTTTGGGAATAAACATTGTGTGATGATTTGAGAACTGAAGATGCAAAAGGGAAACAGTGGTAATCAGTAACGATTGGTTATGGCCATGATATGCTTGGTTCTTTACGGTAGTTCTTGTCCTGTTGGATTCAACGGCTCTGGTTTAGAGGAAGTTATGGTATTGTACTGTACTGGTACAGTACTTATCTTGCAAGCGCTACAATACACAATGCCACTCCTAGTCCTATCTACACGTACTTGGGTAACCTCTGATCCTTGCTGCATACAAGTACCATGAATTCATAATCTACCCTTGTATCGCAGGATCAGTTAACCGTTGGGCAGCTATTATAATGCTACAGCACCCATACGAGTAGTAAGCTTCATACTCGTGCATCCTGCTGCTTAGTGCGTAAGTGGGGTATTGGTGCTCACTGAGCCCGTAGCACAGTATCCCCAAAGTGCCGATACTCCCCATTGTACGAGTACTGTTTAGACTATGATACTAGCTTGAAAACTACGGAAGGCATTCGAGGGTTTGACCGCCCCCCAAAGTTGGTGTCCCCCAGATACTTTATGTCACCTTTCCCACTTCCATACAAGATCAAGCCCGACACCAAGCCTCCAGGAGGCGGGGATAGCCTTAGTTAGGCTTTTCGTTAGTTAGGCTTTTCGGGTTAGTAAAGGCTAGCAAAAACGAAAATTTGCGGTCCAAGGACCACAATACAGTACTAGCGAATTAACTTGAAGTAAGGAGCACAAAATTTCATGTGGCTGAGTCCATAGGACAAATGTCCCAGGCCGGGAGCAAATTGTCCTGGGTTGTTCTGGGTTGCTGTAATAAACACTGGAGCGCAGCCACTCACCCAGCTATTGGATGCGTCATATCTTCTTTCACTTCTACAGCCGCACTTTTTCCTCGGCCACCAGAAGACAAGGCATGGTGAGAGGCAACTAGCGGGAATATCTTGAATAAAGGAACGATAAATCCCCCTTCGTGACTAGAACCCATTATCGTGACCATCAACATCCAGCTCTATATTACAAGCCCTCCGACAATACTTCTCACCGGTCCCTGGGCGTTTCTGTTGGACATTAACCAAAGTCAAGGTGAGATTACTGTACGATATTTCGGCTCACATTCTGATCCTTCCTTCATGAATGACTCTTTTTTTTTTTTCATTTTTCCATTCACTTGCGCTAACAATCGCCCCACGAGCGGCTGAAGGCCCACACATATATTCCCGAAGTCATCCCACTTTTCTCCTCCCCCGAACTATTTCCGCTCCGCGGTTGAAACCTTGAGCCGGAGCTTTCATCTATACCATGTCTTATCCACAGAATCAAAACCCCAACTATGGCGCTCCCGCCGGTGCCCCGCAGCAAAACTATTATGCCCCCCCGGGACCCGGACAGCCATACCCGCCCAACCCACAAGGCTATCCAGCGCCCGGAGTTCCCCCCTCTCCGTACGCTGGCCAACCGCCTTACCATCAGCCACAAGGCTATCCCCCACCAGGGCAGCCGCAGCAGTACTACCCGCATCCTCCTCCCCCGCAGCAGGGCTACCCCCCGCATCCATCCTATAACCAACCACAATACGCCCCACAAGGGCAATATCCTCCCCCAGGAGTCCATAACCCTCAGTACCCCCCCACGCCTCCGCAAATTACGTATCAACACCCTCCGCCCCACCCCCAACCGGGGATGCCATATGGAGCCCCACCACCCCACCACGCCCCCCCGCCCCAACAGCACGTTGCGCCAATTAACGCAACTGCCGACGTCGATGCCATCTACCGTGCCTGCAAAGGCTTCGGGACTGATGGGCGTGCGCTGATCGGCGTCCTAGGCCATCGCGATGGTCTCACTATCGATGCCATCCGCGCGCAGTACACCACTCGCATCCGCCGTGACCTCATAGAAACCCTAGAGAAAGAGACATCCGGCAACTTTGAAACCGCGCTCGTATCTACGGCCCTTGGACCCATCGAGTCAGAAGCATACTTTGCGCACCGGGCCATCGCAGGATTCGGCACGAAGGAAAGCATGCTAACCGAAGCGATCATGGGGAAGAACAACCAACAGATCGCGACGCTGAAATCAGTCTACCAGCGCATGTACGGCGAGTCCCTCGAGAATGCTGTCCGTGGCGACCTCTCTGGCAAGACGGAGCAGCTGTTTGTCATGGCACTCGCCGGCAACAGGATGGAAGACTGGGTCACCGTGGATCCGCAGGTCGCCTCGAATGATGTCAGAACTCTATACGCCGCGACCCAAGGCCGGGTAGACGATATCCAGGTCTGTTCTATCCTCACGAGGGCTAACGACGCGTACATCCGTGCATACGTCGACGGCTACAAGCGCCAGTACGCTCAGGACTTTCTCAAGATGATACGGAAGGAGTTCTCGGGACACATGGAGGCCGCGCTGCTGTACATTGTCAGGGGCGCTATCAATAAGGCTGAGAGAGACGCAGAGTTGTTGGAGGATAGCATGGCTGGTCTCGGGACCAAAGATGAGTTGCTAATCTCGCGGCTTGTCAGGGCTCATTGGGATAAAGGCCATTTCGCCATAGTCAAATTAACGTACGCCGCGTTGTACAAGAGGGATCTTACGAAGCGAGTCAAGGGGGAGACAAGCGGGGATTACGGGAAGATGATGATCGCGTTGGCTACTTAGGCTCTTATCATCGATGTTTTTCTAGTTTTCTCTACCAACCTACTGCTTTGTCCTCGCGCTTAACGTGTTATGAAAATCTTTTTCTTTAACCCCACTTCGATCTTTTCTCTTAGAGGGATTGTTTTTCTCAGGCTTGGCGTTTGTCTGTCTGTCTGTCTGTCTTTCGCCTGGATCGAAAGTTGCTAGTTTATCTTTTCTGTGAACTCTGAAACTCCCTTTCCCCCTTCTTGTCTTCTCAATCACTGGAATTACTCATGCAACAGTATCTTTTGAAGAGAAAAAAATCAAATCCCCAAATGGCGTCATCCCCCAAACCACCACGAGTGATCCTCCGTGCCAAGCATCACAAATCCTCACTCGCTAATATCGTGGTATGTTCGGCAACTCCTCGAGAAGGAATACCCCATTAACTGCTAAAATTCGATCCGCCACTACCCAACACTACCCTGTGAATGGTTCAGTGTGACAGCTAAAGAGCAATAAGAAAAGCACCAAATCGATAATGGTATGGGTACTAGTATTGCCATACCAGTAGATAGGAGACGCTAAACTTATTGAAGGCAGGTTTATTTTAACAGCGGGTCGAACTTGAGCAGCCAATGCGGTACGCGGGTAACAAACCACCTTCTCACCTCCCCCTCCCTCCCACTACTAACGTGTTGGGCCATGGAATGGGTCAGAAAGGGCAACGAATCAGCTAAAACGCGCCAAAATGAGAGGAAATCCAGAGATCTCAACTGATACCCGACATAGCAGACGAAAACTCAGGAGAGCAGCATCTCCTCTTGACAGTATTTCAGATTTACCCTTTCTTCAGCCGAATTCTGGCGCTTGCTTTTTCCTTTCTTTCTTTTTTTCTCTCCGAAAGTTCTATGATACAGTGGGGGGGTTGGGACAGGGTTCAGGTGCAAAACGGTTCGTTACCGCGGTTGACAATCTCCCAGTCCGACACGTTAAACTGATACCTAGAGAAAGGGGCTCTCCTTCTCGTCTCGTCGATATCCATCCCTTCATCCGCCCCAAACATCGCGGACCCACACCGCCCTCCCCCCCGACCCTACCGCGCCATGCCACAATCCCTCACTCACAGACCACTGATTCACAACCCCTCCTCCGCTTGGATATAGGTTATGCAGTGCTTGTGCACTAGCTCGGGTTGGTGATTCCAGTTTCGACTGCACATTAAATGTCGATGGAGGTCTGGTTTGCTCGTGACTTTCGTTGCATTCCCGGGGAAGGTCATTCTAATCTTGGGTCGTGGTTGTGGGAGGTATGATAGGTGGACAGTGTAGAGCGGCATAGCATGATAGATTCGGGTCACAGGCTTTTCCCACCGGTTTAGTGTGATTTGGGAACGCGGCGCGCGCGAGGTCAATGTTTGTTTAACCGTTTTAGATACAAGACTCTTGCGTGTACAGTACTCGAGTACTTCCCATGTTTTGAGTTGGGACGACTCCCTTAGGGGAAGCACGCTCCGGACCCCCCCACTCGTCTCATATATTATATTCCATTCTTCTATCCTATCCCCCCGCTTTAGAGCCTCTATAAAAGCTGGGCTTGTGGGTAATTTTCACTTCATTCATAGACTATCACCCTCGGGCTTTTGCCGCACCACTTAACAATCCTTTCACCATCAAACCCTAATACTCAAAGACCGAAACAACATAGGGACCTACGACTATACCCAGTGGATCTCGTCTCCTGAACTTCTCCCGCTTGCTGTATCATAGCACAGGGAGTTGTAGCACAGGAGTGCTAGGGTCCTCGGGATTTTGTACCCCTACAATGCGTGACCCCAAGCCTCCCGGGCATGTTCTTCAAGTCGTAGGGCAAGAGCTCCCATCACTTGGAGGGACTGCCGTCAAAGATAGCAGCGACAGGCCCTCGCCGCACTTTAGCTATCGGTAACTCCGTTAAGCTATCGATAACTCCGACAGGCCATGCGTAGGACCCTGCGGTCGCCGTCCCTTGCCTCTTGGGGACTGGCGGATTCGGATGTTTGGGGCGTCCCGCCCCGAGCACCCCTGAAGTGCTCGGCAATTTTTAAGGTCTCCGGAATGGGGCAGTATAAGCGATCCAGCTCCGACATAACTAATGGCTTCACGGGCACCAGAGCTTACGAGAGCTGCGGCAACCTGGGCCTACGAACAGCACTCCAGGTTCCGGAGACCGGTACTGTCGTCCGTCCTACCACACGGACTCCGCTCTTGGACCCACTGCCTACAATGCGAATGGGCGAAACCACCAACTGCTTGGATATCGCCCCCGCTCGGGCAATGCTAGTTGGTTGTTTTTCCATGAGGAAACCAACCACTGATCACTACAATCGCCACAATTCATTGGTTCGCCACGGGAAGCTTTCTTGTCCAAACCCGGCTCCCCGAGTGAGATGGGCGTCTGGGAAGCTCGTGGTTTAGTCTTCTGAGGCAGGGTGGCTGTTTGACTCGCTGCGATTCGAGATAGTCACGATTTGAGATTGTGATTTGGGCCGAAATCATGATTTGAGATGGTCAGGTGTTTGGCTTGGTAATGTTTCCAAATCATGATTTCAAATCAAGATTTGGGAAAAATTTAAATTGTGATTTTGGAGATTTAGGGCTATGACCGTTTTGTTAATACCCCCGGGAACTTTATTGCATTAAAGCCAGATATGATAGAGCACGAGTACTGTACTCGAGTATGATATAGTTTACTCAACTTCCTAAAGTTAACCCCAAATCATGTTTTGGAGATTTGAAAATTTCAATGGTGATTGGCACATGGCAATTTGGAAATCGTGGTCTGAGATTATGATTTGAAATCATGATTTCAAATCATGACCATCACAAATCACAATGAGCCAAACAGGCCCTACGTGACGCGGCCAATTGGGAGCCTGCGTGCCAATGGTCTGGATGCTATGTTTTGAGCTCAACAGGTGGATCAAGCGTATTCTACACCCCTAGGAGAGAAAACCAGATGGGATGCGGTACAGATCTCGGATGCCATTGGGCTCCACATCCCGGGCTTTTGGGACCACAGCTACGGCGGTAAAGTCTACAATTTCACACTAGCTCGCCATCATCAATATTCACGAGTGATACTCCATGACAATTATTTTCCACAATGAAGCACTTTAAAGTACGAGTACAATTCCCCGCCCCCACCCCTACTTCTGAAGCGGGTAATTGATCGGCACCGAATCCCCCGTCTTGAAGCTAAAACACCTGTCAGTCCCCTCTTTTTTTTTCTCCACGGGATCAAGACTCACTGGAAAATCCTCGCCCTCGCCACATCCCACACCCCTTCCTTGACGAACGGGTCATCAACCAGTTGCTTTCTGACGTCCTCTTCGTCCTCGGCCACCACCGTTAAAGCGCTTCCAGCACACGGCATATCTTCCGTCTGCCCACTCGCGGCCTGTTCGGAGAAGTATGTACCGCCCTGGCGGTAAAATTCACCCTTGGCCATTTTTTCCGCAACGTAGGCAAGGTGCCGCGGCCGGACTTCGGAGTGATTCGCAGAGGGGAGGTCGGGGATTACGACAAAGCTGTTTAGGATTTGTTAGCCCAGGAGATGTACTCGGTGGACCAATATTTGGGGATGGGGAGGGGGAGGGGGAGGGGGAGAGGGGGGGGAACAATTCTGAGAGAGTCATGGTTTATAGTAGTAAGATTTGTTGGTACCGTGATGGTTGAGATTGCGGAAGTATGACTGTGGTGAAGTGGACGTGAAGTTTGGGCTTGGGGGCTCAAAGTCTCAACCGAGAGGGGGAGAACAAGTCGATATATGATAAAGCGCTCTAGATAGCGAAACGGAGCCGAAGCGCGGGGTCAACCTACTGTAGCACAACTCGTACCGCACAACTTGCCCACTTTCGTGAAGCACAGTTGGTATGATTCCCCAACCTACTGTACTCTACTCAAATAATATGGTCTCATACGTCACGCTATGAATACCCGATTTCCAGTCCCCGCAGCCCCTCCGAAGAAAGAAAGTTATCTTTCCCCAAGGTTCAGCACACCCACAGTTTAGGGACTTAATTCCCTCAGCTTCCTCCCCCGCCCTTGCCCAATGGGTTATCGTCCTATCTTACTCGAGTACAGTACACTTATCGCTACGATGGTATCGTACCGGTACAGTCACTACAAATTTTTGGAGAGGTGTGGTTACATGGAATTGTGGGGCGGAGGAGGTATTTAAATGTTTATTAAAATAGTAATCTTCACGACAAGTCACCCCCATCCATCGCTATCTAACCTAAACGTACGGAAGTGGGGATGCAATTGCAGTTTTGAACTATATCGACTATTAGCAACGAAGTTCACCACCCGGAAGTGCAATCGGTCGCATACGGGATAGATCTCGGCCTACCGTAATCACGTTAGCCCATGCTAATCGGAGGTAGGGGGAAAACGAAGAGGGGTAACCTTTTCCCAATCCCACACATCATTCTTGGAGTAAACATCCTGCTTCAGGACCTCGAGGACGGCCTCTTTACTCACTCCTGTAGCGACAATGATAGATCCCCTGAAGGAGAGATCCTTCCCTTCCTGCGCGGGTTCGTTGAGGAACACTCCTGTCAGGACAGATTAGTAGCTTCGCTCGCTCACGTATGTCCCATGAGCGGTCTGGGAAACGAACCGCCAAAGTTGGCGAATCCGGCTTCTTGGTTCCTTTTGATACCCTCGAGATGTTCCCTAATAATCCCTCTTAGAATCAATAATGATAATAATGATAATAGAAATTCCTGTGTTTTCTTTCTTTCTTTTTTTTCGGAACAATTACTCACGTGCGAACTTTAAGTCTCCTCTCCAGCCCGCCGTTAACCTGGTCCGGCAAGATGCAGAGCCATTCCGTTTTTTGTGGTGAGGTGGACATTGCTGCAGCGTACTTGTAGTTGTTCAGGAAATTATGAGGCCCTTGTGTGAAATTCGTGGTAGTAGCAGGGAATCTGACGAAGCGCTCGAGGGAAGAAATTGTGGTGCGGGGGAGAGAGAATTTAAACATTTCTTGGATGCCTAAGAGTGCTTGGATCGGGGAAGGGTCTCAAGATAATTGATTGACCGAGCTTTCCAGATCGGGTGTGGGTCCCGCCGTTCGCTGATTGGTGGCTCAAGACAATAATCTTATGATATTATTACAAGGGAATTGTGTCCCTCGGTGACACGAAGTGTCCTAAGTCAGGTAGGGTAACTGATCTTTGCACCCTGAATTATTTTGCTCTACTGGAACTTGGGGCCAAATTATTCATTCCGCCCACTTACAAACTCACCTCACCGTTGGCTTTCACAATTATCTGCACCTTCAGCTCCCTCCACTTCTCCCAAACTTCCTCTTTTATTTTCCCTTTTCTCGAAAGCAGCAATGTCAGACCCACCACCACCGCCGCCGCCTCGAACCGGCATGTCCGGCCTGTACGCCAATCTCCTGGACCCATCAAACAACAAAACAACCTCAGCCTCTATCTCCCGTGCACCAATAGTCTTCAAACAGTCCGCCGCCGCCTCCTCCCCGACCCCTGTAACCTCCACTCCAGCAGAAGATCCTGCACCGAAAAAGCTCAATGCCGGTATTTCTCGAGAAGCTCCCCCCCATCCCCCTTTTGCGTTTTACAGAGTCAAGCCCTGCTCACGCGGAGTGTGTGTGTGAATTTTTTTCTTTAAAAAAAAAGCTGCCCTACGTTTTCAACCGACACTCAAACGACCGACTGGTGCAACTGTGAAGGGGAAGGGGAAGAATGTACGGAAGCCGGGTGTTAGCGCGACTGCGGCGGCAGCGGTGGGGGTGACGACTGGTACGGCGGATACAAGTGCAGATACAGCAGAAGGGGGAGGGGGTCCCGGGTTAGGAGGAGTAGCTAGACCAACCGTCAAAACTACTATAGAAGACTGGACTGGTGATGCAGACGACGATGTCAACGGCTTCTACGCCAACAATCGAGATCAGCACCGCGGAGTGCGCAAGAAGCGGAAGAAGAATCGTGATACACCACCTCCACCTACTAACTGGGACGATGTGTACGATCCCAGCCGGCCGAATAGCTACGACGAGTACAAGGATGGTGACGAGAAGATCCGGGAGCTGGAGGACTGGAGGGATAGGGTGCTACCTAGGAGGCGGAGAGATAGTTATGATAGTGAGGAGAACGAGCGGGAAAGGGATAGGGATAGACAGGGTTTGGGGAATAGGTTTGCGCCTCCGACAAAGTACTCGTTTGCTCCACCGCCGCAGCTGTCGGGTGGGGACGGGGGTGCAGGTGTTCTTCCACCCCCTCCACCGCCTGCTGCTGCCACTGGACCTCCAGTAGCAGTCCCTGATGATGCCTCCGGGGAAGACGCATATGCCCGCCGTCTCCGCATGAGCCAGCTGGGCTCCGCGGGTTACTCCTCCACTACTTCCACCACATCCGAACCGCCACCACCGCCACCACCTCCCCCCCCACCGTCAGCAGACCCCACCCCCCAACCAACAATCTCCCGCGCTCCAGTCCTCTACACAACCCCGCAACCCCCCACGGACACCCCCACAGACACCCCGACCGACGAACCCACGGACCAATCTCCCCCATCCCCGCCATCGAACCCCCTCCTCCCTGGCCAGAAGGACTTCGCCGCACGTCTGATGTCAAAATTAGGCTGGCGCGCTGGCACAGGCCTCGGCGCCTCGAGCACAGGCATAACCCAACCCCTCCGTGCTGTGCACACAAAGTCCAAAGACCACCCCACCCGCGGCAAAATCATAGACAAGAATAAACCCAATCCCGCTGCCACCGCCGGCAAATTCGGCCCTGCGAGCGTCGTAGTGGTACTGAGGCACATGGTCGACGGCCTAGAGGGCGAGGATGAAGCCGTGCTCATGCAGGAGATTGGCGATGAGTGCGAGAACTCGTATGGCGGCGTCGAGCGCGTTCTTGTCGTTTGGGGGAAGGATGATGGGGAAGGAGATAACGCGGGTGAGAAGGCGGCGAGCAGAGTATTCGTGAAGTTTTCGGGGGAGTTGGCGGCTCTTAGAGTTTGTTTATTCTCTTTCCTTCCCATCCCATATTGCTCCGGTTTGAAGGAGGGAAAGTGGTGGCTAATTCGTCGGTGTGTGCGCAAATAGGCAGTCAACGCCCTTGAAGGAAGATTATTCAATGGGAATACCATCGAAGCCAGATTCTTTGATAAGGATAAGTTTGAGGATCGCGAATTTGATTGATCTACGTACTGCATTCGCCAGCACAGGTGCGAGTGAGTCGTTGTGACGGTGTACAGTACTCCCACATAATGTTAATCTGGCATTTCTTCTGTTCTTCCATCTTTTTTTTTTTTGTTTCACACGAGCTTCTTCCCCCTTTCCTAATAAGTATCATAAGCTGCAGTCGCCCAGTGGTTTGCGCGTAGAATTGGCATAAACCAAAAGTACACCACGGTAATTAAATACCAAGTTAAATAAATACAAACAAGGGCAAAAGAGACACGGCACAGACCACGGTACAACAGCGGCAGAAAGCGATGGATGATGGACGGATGGTAATGGACAACGAAACGAAAGACCTCACCCACTCACCCCAGCTAAAGTATAAGCTATCGAGAGAGTAAGATACGAAAGAATCGCAAGCATATGAAAATGATATGACATGAAAGATCACTCAAAATCGCTACACCACCAACCAACCAATTGGTCGCCAGAATATATAAGCATAAGAAAGGAAAAGGAAAAGGAAACCGTAATCCTCACCCTCGATACAATAATAGTAACAAAACAAATCTAATTCACGACCAACACAAACTATCATTAAAACAAATTGAAGAAATAGGGGGATGACTGACAAAGTGCACGTCGGCCAACAAGTCTTTCTCTTCCTTCCTTCCTTCCTTGAAAAAAGGTTTCCCTATCACCACGTTGACCGCCACGCCCATACACCCATCAACCACCTCTCCCCGCCCAAACCAAGCCCGGCCAGAAGAAGCGAACGAAAACGAAGAAAAAGAAAAGAAAATCAAAAAAAATTCCCAGTACTCCAATTAAAATCCCCAATAAGCCTGCATTCCTCTTCCCCACCACATAATCCGCAATAGTAATTTTTCGCCCGTTGTTTCCCTTCTCTCCCATTGGCTCCTTCCTATATCGTCTCCGCCATAGCTCTGGGTTTCTATATTCTTAATTATGATAGGAGGTAGGATGTTTCTGGGTTTAGGCATTGCCAGGTTTCTCGTCCGTGTCGATATGCCATACAACGTAATTGGGCAATCCAATGACTCTGTAGCCGGCGCGCTTGGCCATCTTCGCAAAGCCTTCAGTCTCAGCTTGATTCTCGAAGGCATAGGCAGGGAAGTTAACTCCTATAAATTGTCAGTCGGTGGTCCGTTCACCGGGTGTGGGGTATGGCTATTAACCCGAACGATGAACATCAGCCTTCACAAGGATGCTGACACCTCCGATCCCATCAAGTTCTATTTCCTCGTCCTTATCCTGCCTCCAATCGCCCATCTTAGCCATATACTTTCGCCCAGTGTCGTACTCCTTGTACCCTGTGAATATTTTAATTAGACAGGATACCCCAAAACAGCTTCATGGCTTTAGCACACCTTCAGCCAAAATGGTATCCTTGGGAAGTTTGGCAGCAAGAGCTAGGCCCTTCTCAGATTCTTGCCACGAGTTGTAGTCAACTGCAACCAACGTCTTGGTTAGCTTTGGCGGCTCTCACAGGAAAGTTTAAAAGTAGTGGATGAAAGGTTACCCACAACGACCCTCAATATCATGACCATCGCGATACCTGTGGAACCAAATGTCTATCAAAGTCAGCAAGAAATCTTCCAGAATAGCACTAGGAGAAGATATATCGTACTTGGAACAATAACGTCCCTGTCGTGGGACATGAAATCTTCCAAAATGCGTTCGGGGCTGTCAACAATATCCACATCCCTCCAATAGACCCAAGAGTGATCGGGTTTCAAAGCGCTGTACAAAAGGTAGTTTCTCGCGCGACCCATAGCCTTTCTCCGGGGGCCCTGGAAGGCAAACGAGTGTCTAACCTCAACATCCTGGCTTTCACTCAATCCGAAATCCTTCTCAACAATCTTGACACTTCGGAATGGCTTGACACCCTTCTGAATCCTCTGCAGCTCCTGGACCAAGGCAGCCTTGGTATCGTCCTTAGTATCACTGATGAGGAATGCTAGGTCGATTAACTCGTGGGGATAAGTCAGCTGTGAGACAAGGTCAAAGTACTTGGCCAAATAATACGATGCATCGCGAAGAGGTGTAAGAATCAAGACCCGCTCCTTATTCTTCCAGGCTTCGGGGGTGGATCTAATGGAGTTCAGGTCGTCATTCTGAATGGTTTGGGTATCCACTACTAAGGGTTCGTGGTGGTTAAATAATATTGGTGTGCGTTGGTGAGCATGCCAGCTATTATGTTCATTGGCAGAAATCTCTAATGGCGACTTGGCCGGTCCAAAGCAGTAAAACCTGAGGGGAGTCATTCGTCAGCACAAAGTTTGACCGCGATAAGCTTTTGCGCATGAAACCGTTTGGAAAAACCAAACGCTCAATCCCGTGTTGATTCCTCCCAATTCACCCCAATCCAACAACCCCTTAACCGCTAACAGTTGCACTGGATGGGGGAACACTACTTTTGTAAGTTGGCAGCAGACCCGCTGAGGCTTCGCCAGAGCACAACGATGAGCCCAGTCATGAAGACTGCGAGCAGAAACCGAGTCCGCAGGAATATCTGTGCAAGAGCCCGTAGAGGCGGCAATTTACCCCGCACAGTTTTCACCGTCATCCCTTTCGGCATCATATTGTTGCAAGAAGCTTCAAGCGCTGATGGAGATAAGAGGGAAAAAAGCGAGGGAGTGTAAAGAAAAGAAAAAAGAACGAGATGGAAGAATAGATGGGTGACAAGAGGGGACCCAAAAGTCGTCCTCGCACAAATTCTCCTTTCCTCGTTGGTCAAGTGGAATGTTGTTGTGGGGATGGGGGGTTGGACAGAGGTGAAGGGGGGGGGGTTGAGAGAGATGGAAACAGGGTGTTGCCGAACGGGAAAAGGAAATAAAAGAAGGAAAAAGGAGTCGTCGTGGATGATGTGAATTTCGATTACCTACCGCACAGCACGGGCACAGTAAAACGGTGAAATCGCACCTCGGGAGATTTTACGGACCGCTTTTTCTGTTGTCAAATATGGTGCATTCAGCTCGGAATGGACTGATTGAATCATCAACACAACCACATTCCAACTCATACAACACATCACACCGGTACTATCATAATATTATGATAACTTGATTACTTCCCACCAAAAGTATCATGGCATGGAGCTGAGGGTACTGTACCGGTACTGGTCAGTTGATCCATATATAAAACCGTTATGCAGACAAAAATATGCCAAGAACTGGGTTTTATGATACCCAAATTTGACCATCTTGGCACATCCATTTCCGGATAGCGGTACCCCACGATAGGCATTGGCGAGCACGATTATTCTGGGCACAAAAGCGAGCGCCGAGATATTTGTGCAGGCCTTCCAGCATAGTCAAGCACCTGACACCTGGGCTTGAGTACTGTACCATAGCATGAAGGAACTCACCGCGAGAACTCGTCGGGGGAGAACCTCATATAAAAGCGTAATTCTACCCATTTACTCGAGTGCTATACAGGTAGCACTAAATGTGAGAGTCTACCTGTACGAGTATGATATTATACCATTCAAACGTCGGTAGACTATAAACTATTGAACCCTTACTAGGCACCCGGCACTATCCACACGGACCACGCGAAAAGTCAGACGCGTCACAGCAGCCACAACGCGATCATAACCACCACCACCGCCCGCCAAAAGACCACCTTCCGACAAGGACGAACGAAGAGCTCACCACCAAAGAACTTTGCTACGGCGTAATCCCCATATGAATTTCCACCAAATACGGTATTACCCAAAACCCCCATGGCAAGTGCTAGCCTCATGAATACCTGATGCCCTACGGGAATTAAGCAGTGTCAAGTACCGGTATGGCAGCCCTGGATGCACGCCATTACCGTACTTAAACGTCTCAGATATAACAATACATTCCTCCCTACAGTAGACCCTTGCGAATCACCATCTTCCGTCCCCCTGCTACCGGTACAGGTACAAGTACTAGTACTGCGTCCGCAAAGTACCGTAACCAATCAAAAAAAAAAAAAGTCCCTTCCATATACCATACTGTATACGAGCACTTGTGCCCATTACCGTATCTACATCGATCCGGGGCCACGTGCGGGGTCGGCGAGCTAGGATAATAAATTATTAAATTCAACCACGATGAAGCCTCGCAACTTTGAACTCTCCGAGTGATCACCGATGAACAAAGAATCATGGTCTCGTGGCCGTATGAGCAATTAACTGCATATGATCCCAGTAGCTATAACCCCCCCAAGATTGTCTACGATGCAGCACGAAAAAACGTAAATACCACAGTATCATATTTGCGGGCCCGATGCATGATATTACAAGCCTGGGCCCATTCCAGCTGCTCATGGGCGCCAAGAAGCCCCAGCTTGAGGCTCAACGGGAGACCCCTAGACACTAGTAGGTCACGTGGCATAGCTATCGTTCACAAATTTTCCCACCATCTTGAACAAACACTTGCTGATAGGCTTCATCGTACTACCTTCCCGCTACCACTGCCGCCACAATCACCACCGCGACGCCGTGTGGGAAACGGACGATGGCCCCCAAACATCCGAAAGCAAGAGTGGAAATTGCGGGAAAGCTCTCCGCCGATCGCAAAGAACGCTCCAGAAAACTCGCTCTCCTGAAAAAGAAGCGGACGGAACTAGTCAAGCAAACATCCAAACTGCAACACGAACAAACAACAGACGAAATTGAGGGCCTGGAAAAGGAGATTGTTGCGTCGCCGAGGGGGTACAATCACGTTGTGAAGTTATTGGAGCATTTGAAGGTTTGTTCGCTCTTGGAGGGGATGGTGGATGGATGGATGAAGGAATAATGGCTAATGAAATGTCTTGCGGGGTTACAGAGCCCGGAGAAAACCACTATCAGCGCCGCCGCGACGTCGCTATGTCGGGCTTTTATCAAACTCATGGTGAAGGGGGAATTGAGTAAGAAGAAGGGAGCTACCGATGCTGAGGTCCAGATCTTGGAGTGGTTGAGGGGGCAGTATGGGATATTTATTGGGGATCTTTGCGGGTTGTTGGATTATAAAGATGGGGGTATACAGGTTGGTTCTACTGGCCCTTTTCAGCGCTGTGATATTTGGTGACTGGTCATTAATGAAATATAGGAAGAGGTTCTCTGGCTGCTCATGAGATTGGTGAAGGCGGAATCTGAGCACTTGACACCCCCTGAGGAAGAAGCGTACTTCCCGCACAAGCTGTTTCGGAGGATCGTGGAGGCTTTGGTGTATGCTGAGAATCTGGAGGACTATCTCCGGATCCAGTTTACGGAAAAGTACTTGGATGTGTATGATGATATTCGGTATTCATTTTTTTCGGCCGTTAAGTATGTCCTCCCTTTCCTCTTCACGCACCACCACAGTGCTAACATGAATTACGTAGAACACTGACTCAAATTGCCCTCAAAACCCCTTCCACCCTTCCACAGTTCACAAAAACGACGATAACCCTAATCCTCTCCCTACACAATCTCCCAACCTCTACCACCCCGCCCTTTACCTCTTTCTTCGCCTTAATCCCCCCCTCCTCCACATCCCCCACAAATCCCCGAGCAATCTTAGCCCTAACCCCCCACCGCAAACTTCTCCAAACAGTCCTCCTCCACCTCCTCCGTCTCCCGACAATAACTCCCTACACTCCTTCTATCCTCCAAAATATAACAACCCTAGCCCCCACCTTCCCGAATCCAGAAACTCTCATGGATTTTCTCACAGATACCTACGCCACTGGTGGTCCCACCGCCCTCCTAGCTTTGTCAGGCCTCTTCTACCTGATAAAGACCAAAAACCTAGACTACCAAAACTTCTACCAAAACTTGTACGCGCTACTTGACCGGAATCTACTACACCTAAAGTACCGATCTCGCTTCTTCCGACTACTCGAAGAGTTCCTGGGCAGTAAGTATTTACCCGCAGCCCTAATAGCCAGCTTCCTCAAACGTCTGGCAAGATTAGCACTTAGCGCACCGCCAGCAGCGGTGGTGGTGATCATCCCGTTCGTGTATAATCTTTTAAAGGCGCATCCGGCGTGCTGGTTCATGTTGCATCGGGAAGGCACCACGGAGGAGCTGGATAGGTGGAGGAAGGATGGTGTTGTAGATCCTTTCGATCCGGAGGAAGAGGATCCGCTGGAGACTGGCGCCATTGATAGTTGTCTCTGGGAGTTGGAGACGCTCAGGGGGCACTGGCAGCCGAACGTCGCCACCCTAGCTAGGATTTTAGGAGAGCAGTTTACCAAGGCTAGTTACGGGCTTGAGGACTTTTTGGACCATTCATATGGGAGTGTGAGTGTCCTTTCTTATCTTCTCAACATAGGGGATCTGTCGGAGCTAATATTGGGCAGATGTTTGCGGCGGAAATGAAGAAGAATGTGAATTCTGAGAGACCGCCAGTTGTAGAGTTTGAGGTTCCCAAGAGGATCTTCTTCGAGGTTGAGAGGGAAGGAGGGAATGAGGATTTATCTGAGGCTGCGGCGAACCCTTTACTTTCGCTCTGGGAGTTTTAGGCATTAAAAGTTTTCCTGTCATGTATATAAAAAATAAAATAAAATAAAAGGCTACTACTCGAGGGAACCCAAAAGCAAAAGCAAAAAGCAAACGTTAAACCACCGTACCGGTATCCTATAGGAGAAAAAAAAGAAAAGAAAAGGTATTCCCTCCACCCTGTGAAGGCACAACCCATCACTCGCCCCCCCAATTCCCCTTTCCAAGAACCTTATCGACCCACTCCTCAGTCCACTCCCATAAAACCTTCGCATCCTCCTCGTTCCGCGCCCACTCGCCCAAGTCGACCTCTTCAGAGTGGGTATAGCGCATGTTCCACCCAGTCCTAGGGGCAAAGAAGCACCCGTGCACGTCCTCCTCACGAACCCTATCCGCGGCTGCCAGCAGCGTCTGCGTCATCGCGCCCTCGCGCGGGGTAAGACTGACGGTGCTGATGAGTCCATGTAGAAGCCTTGATCCCCAGGCCGGTACGCCGAACGCTCCCTAGCAACGCAATAACACCCATCAGCACAAGTGAACAAGAAGGAGGTATCATATGATAGAGGGGGAGTTACATTATCCCCCAACGCCGTCCCACCAATGGTCCCGGGATGGCACACATTAACCCTAACCCCCGCCCCCGCCCCATCCGGAGCGCGCAAGCGCCTATCCAACTCCATGGCGAAGAGTATGTTGGCCCGCTTACTCCTCCCATACCTCCTCCCGGCAGCGGGCAAGTGGCGAACACTCCCGCCGTCGCCGGGGACCCTGCACGCGACGTCGGACAGGTCCACCTTGTCGACAAAGCTGTAGGCGGCGGAGCTCGTCACGACGACGCGCACGTCCCCGCTCCCCTCCGCCGTCCTCCGCAGCAGGGGCAGCAATCCGCGCACGAAGACGAAGTGCCCGACGTGGTTCACGGCGAAGGCCATGTCCAGCCCGTCCGCCGACAGCTCGTCCACGGGGACGAAGGCGACGCCGGCGTTCGCCACGAGGATGTCCAGGCGTGCGTTCTCGCGCGCGAAGTGGGCGGCCGACGCGGCGGCACTGGCGGCGCTGGAGAGGTCGAGGGGGTGGTGGTGGTAGGTATGCGATGGGTATTGCGCGCGCAGCCCCGTCACCGTCTCCTCACCCTTTGCAGGGTTACGCGAGGCGATGTGCACAGTCGCGCCATGGCTCGCGAGGAGGATGGCGGTTTGCAGACCGATGCCCGAGGTTGCGCCCGTTACCAGCGCGGTTTTGGAGGGGAGGGAGGGGAGGTCGGATTCTTTTAGTTGGATGGGCATCGTGATGGGTGTGGAAGGGGATGATGATGACGAAGGAACAAAAGGAAGGAGGGAGTGGGGGGGAAAAGGTGTTATATACAAGGTATCGTGGATCCGATCCCGGCTTGCCCCTCTCTGTATAATATCATACGAGTACTGTACTGTACAGTACCACGTAAATTATGCCTCGGGAGCGGAACCGTGTGACCTATCTACACATTCCGGTAAGATGAATCGGAAAACAGGGGTAAGCGAGGTCCAGTGGCAAGAGAGAAATACCCGTCGATTATTGGTTGGAAGAACTTCGAGAAGGCTCTCATAAGTCAAGTAAATAGAATCATGTAGAAGAGTCTACTATATATAAAAGAGAAAGAAATATAGCTAAGATTGTCCTTACCTCACACCTAGAAGTCTGGTATTTTATACGATGTCTCGAGTTGGAACCGAAGACCTTAGTTACAAGCAACGTTGTCAAATTCAATGCTTGCGGGCAGATGCAGGGTGGACTTTTGATTGTATTGCGCAAAAATACGGTATTTCAGTCTCAACAGCTTGGAGAATATGCAATGGGCCTGCAACTCCACGTAAACGGGGGAAAAAGCCACTTAAAATAGACTCTCCTCTTCGCAAACGCCTTGTTTATGAGGCTACACTAAATTCAGAAAACCGTCAAAAATCCTATTCAGAAATTGCTACGATGATGGGACTTCAAGCTTCAGAAAAAACTCTTCGGGCAGCATTTGCAAAGGAAGGATACAACAGATGGATAGCAAGAAAAAAGCCTTATCTGGATGCGACTCGGCGCATGAAGCGCCTGCAGTTTGGATTAAATACGCAATCATGGTCTAAAGAAATATGGAGAAGAGTACTGTGGACCAATGAATGTTATGTCTGGTTAGGAGGGAAGCGGGGAACAGTGTATGTAACACGCCGCGCAGGTGAAGAGTATTTAGATGATCGTTTGATTCCTAAATTTGAAAAGAAAAATTCTCTTATGATTTGGGGTGGTATTTTGGTTTACAATGGGAAAAAGGTTCTTGTTATTTGGGAAAAGGAGGATTGGGGTTCAATTAAAGCAAAAACATACATTGATCATATTCTTATTCCTATTATTTGGCCATTTTGGTATTGGGAAAAGCAGGAAATTATATGGGCAGGTGGTGATACTGGTGGTGCTGATGCCGGTGGGTTTGGCTTAGAAGACTCAGAGATCATATTAATGGAGGATGGAGCACCAGCACATCGGGCTCATGCAACAGCAGAGCAAATAGCACAACTTGGGATTCCTAAGTTGACCTGGCCACCTTATTCTCCTGATCTTAATCCAATAGAGAATATCTGGAATTTACTTAAATCCAGAATAAATGCACGGCAACCACGTCCTGTAACTTTAAATAATGTTAAGCAGGCTATTTTTGAAGAATGGGATAAGATTACAGTACAAGATATTCAAAAGCATGTAGATTGTATGCCACAGCAGATTCAGGCTGTTATTAAGGCAAATGGAGGGCACACTCGTTGGTGATTTTTGTATTTATTATTTTATCACGATCTTTTTTTCTCTCGCAAAATACTAGATTTTATATTCGCCACCAGTTTGCCACTGGACTTATCTTACCCCTGTTTTCCGATTCATCTTACCGGAATGTGTACTGTAACCGGCTTAGGATGTCCCCGAAGTTGCCGGTACGAGTAGAGTTCCTTGGCCCCCCCTCACTGCTCCTCGCACCCTTATCCTCCGATGCTCGAACAACAGGATTTACACAGCCAGTCTGACTGTGTTGCACTGCACTAGAGGTACTGTACAGTATCGTACAGTAGAACGAACGGAACAGTACGACTCCTCAATCACACCGACAACATACCGGAATTATAGAAATCACCAAAATCCGACGATGCCGGATTTTATCGAGGCTTTAGTCCGGTTAACCCCCCACCCCACCCAAGGCTGAATGAATTTCCCTCGGCTTTTATTAAATGATATACCGGTACTCCTCCATTCGCACTGCACTCGTACGAAGTTTGTAACTAAACAAGAAATCACAGGTATGATGATATATCATAAAAGTGCATTTTTCAACCCAAAAGTAAGTTGGCCATGTCGAACGGCATTTAACAGGCAGGTTCTGTTATGTGCGTGAACTTGAACGTGAACTCTGCCTTTGTCCTGTACAGTACCGCAAATGGACTACGGTAGCTAGCCTGTGCATCAAGAGAAAAAAAAAAAAAGAGGTGGGGGTAGGAGAGATATTCCAGCCAATCCGAACATGAGCAGGCGTGATAGATCTATCCATATCTGGAATAGACACATACCAAGTCATTACGGTAGCTTACTTGAGTAACTGGTACTTGTACATGAAATAATCCTGAGCCAATCGGCCGCTCTGTTTACACTGTTTTTACGGGCTCAAGTTCAAACTAATTCATGGACTACCGTACTCGTACTAAGTACAAGCTCACGCTTTAGCCGCACCGGTACTCAGCTTGCCTTGCCAACCATATCTGGATAGTGCGTGGCTGTTGCTGTGGCAGCAAGAGCAAGTTCGCGTTCATGAGTGCTCACAGAACCTCCCTATCCCTTAACCTGTACTCTCGTTTACTCACTTTTAGTGTGGCACTAACGGAAGGATCGGCAATGGCCAGGACAGAACGAGGAAAGCTGGATCTAGACATTTAAGCGCATGAAACGCAGTGGAGACAGGGAGAACACATAATTCTCCCAACTCATGTTTTCTGTTATCTTAAGCATAGAGCAAGCGGAAAATCAACTCCAACCCCTACTATGAAGGAGAAAAAATGCATAAGTGAAAAATTCATATAAACTAATACTAGGAGGCAAGAACATAAGAAGGAACAAGAAGTGAATAGTGCAGCGCTAGATACAGTTTGTCAAATCAAGCTGAGAGGAGGTGGTTCAGGGCTTTTTTTGTTATTTGGTTGAACTATCTGAGTAAACAAGGTAAGTAAATTGAGTGTTTGAGTAGCCTGTGAGGCCAGTAGATTCTAACTTAAAGACTCAGAGTGAAAAAAATAAAAGCAAAAATCTTTACAGAGAGGCACTTTAAACCCTGAAAGTTCACAGTAATTACAAACAAAAAAGGTTTGGTGTATTTTGCCTCTCAGACCATTCTGAGCAGTCAAGAAAGCTTCGTATTTTGGAGTACCTGGGGAGGTCTTGGAAAGGTAGTGGCAGAGGGAACAATATTGTGGTGAGTTTTTCACTTGATTTCATACTATTTGGTAAGCCACAGGATCTCTTCTCAGCGGAGGAAGGAGGGTGCATTTCATAATATAGCCTTGTGCCTGGCTAAGAGGATTATTGCCTGAGAGAGTACTTCTAGGACAGTTGTGGCCATTTGACTGTGGAAGAGTTAGGTGAGGTATCACTTGTAGCTGTTGAGTTCGTGTAGGATTAAGTTGTTGGAAACCTTCTTCTACAAGGTCCTAAGTTAAACGTTCATGAAATCTTCAATGGCAGTACCAATAGGAGCCAGGTAATCTATCCATTCTTTGCTTAGCAAGAAGAAAAGAATTGATCACAGAAGTATCCAATAGCCAAAAGAAAATTGGCATCCAACTTCAAACAGTATGTAATTGGATGAAATAATAACTTCTATGTTGGTCCACTATATCGACTCCGCCTATGTGCATATTGTAGTCAACTGTTGCAGCCGGGAGGGCAAGTTCTCAGACAGGTAATTCTCCCCATACCTGGTCAATCATCTAACTGTATGCATTGCAATTTTGAGGACGGTGTGGATAGATGACGCTGATGAGTAGTATAGTTTTGTAAATATGGTCGCATGTCATACACAGTTGTAAGAAGTCGTACAAGGATTTTATCCTGTCAAATTATGGCAAGAACTTTATGGTTATCAGGAATCACTTCCGATACTGTTCTCCAAGGCAAGAGAGCTCTTCTTTTATCAATCTTTAAGATTCGAGGATACTCAGCTGAATTTGGTCTAACAGTATCACATGCAGTAATCTGAAAGTTTCTCAAGGCTTGAAACAATTGAATATTTGAAAAATAGTTGTCACAAAAGAGAAGGAAGCAGCACTGATGATATGGCAATTTAATCGTAAGATGGAATACAGCTCATGACGTTGGACTTAACTGTAGGTTATCCTCACTTGGGTAAGGTAAGTCATGACCTGAAAATTGATCTACTCATAACGTATACATAAAAGTAAACGTATAGTCATGTTCACAAAGTGCTAATAGCTTATAACTTTCTGGAATAGGTTTATTTGGCATTCGAACAGTATGTACTAAGCGTTCCACAAATCTAACCATTATCTCATCTATTGCAACTTCAGTAGTAGGTGTACAATAGTGCTGGTATCTGGCTTGTAGGTTGGAGGAAAGTGGCTCTAACTTCTAGTACTATTAACAACGTGGAAGATTTTTGACCGGAGGAGAGATATGGAAATAGTATTTTTGCTGTTCAAATTGAACTTGAGTCATATATTGTAATATTCTATGCATATTTTAGCTAACTATAAAGCTAACAAATAAGTATAGGAGAAAGAAAGTGTTAGGTGGAGAAAATCTGATAGACTTCAGAATTGTCTAAGCCAATTAAGATTCGTTTTTGTAGACAGCGATTGTCTAGGAAGGCTCGAGTTCACCCGTTTCATTTATAACTACTAAAAGTGAAGTAAATTTGATGAAGTAAGATAGAATCGTAAATACAATATTATATTATTAATGTCTCTTCTCCGTTGCTTGATGATATCTAAAGCTTGGGAGACACTTCAATATTTATATTCCGCGTCTGAGTGTTTGCAGACTATATCTATTTATCATATAACTATGTACCTTTCTGATTATAACTTACAACGTCAGGTATTCTTAAAAGATGTGAACACCTGGAGACCCTGAAAATCACCATACCCTCTTTGGCAATTACAATATAGCTAACTCAGAACCATACTGTTCCTAATAGTAGTTATTCAATACTTGGAGTATTTAGACTTGTAGCCTAGTTCTCAAGTTGAACTGAGTTGACTCTAATTGTCTCCGTCGTTGATGATATGATCAGTTTCATCTACGGGTTACATCTGCAAAGGTAGTTGTAATCACAACCTTTTTTCAGGTCGTCTGACTTTAAACCTTCATAACTCCTTACACAACTGATAGATATCTTTGGGAGAATTTCCTACTAATTCGCAGAAAACTACTCCACTGGACTGATAAATATTCCTTCAGTCGGCAACCCTTGGTTGCTCTGGGTAATAGGATTTCAATCACTGTCATAGTATTGGAAGTTATCCTCGTAACTACAAGGCGTTCTGAAACCTAGTTGCAACACTCCGTGAAGTTCAATGGCTTCTATAATAGTATCCCTCAGAGTTCTATACTCTTTCAGATGTTGTAGGATAGATGTGAATATATTGGTCTCTTACTGAGATCCTTTACCATTCAATACCATCTCTTTGTACGAAAACATCTCAATACTTATAGCTCACTTCAAAGGTATCACACTTTTGAAGCCTTGTAACTTCCTGAGTAGTTGACGGATTTACTCCGTCCCACTTCTCAGACCTAGCCGAAGGTTCTCTCTCATATATCCTGCGAACAGGATCTGGTCAGACAGACGGCGGCGATGTATGCAGTGTTATTCTGACACCTTTAATTCTGTGGTATTATATTCACAGGACACAACTGAGATTGATATGTATAATGACATGCAGGCCTGATAAAAGGGCCGGAGGGGGGTGTTGGAGACCAGAGATTCCAATTCCAGGTGGGGTTACCCTACTTAGGGTGACTCCTAGGTATTGAATCCCAATATTCCTAATAGAAATATATGCTTATGGAGTGGAAAAAGGCCATCTTTACACCAATAGTCCAATACAGCACTGGAGTGGTAAACTTCCATATAAATCACAAGACCAATAAATACCATCACTTCAGCTCCTTTTACTGCTTACCACCTCCTTCCACCTTGACTTCCTGCTTCTTTTGCTGCTGCATATAAATTGGTATTTTGAGTGAGTTGCTCAAATTGCTCTTGATTAAAAACAAGTACAAAAAAATCAAGCGGTCGAATAGGTCGAGGTTTGGGGTTATGGATTGAGTCATATTGGCTAAAAGGGTCTTCTGGCAAATGTAGTATACGGTTATGTTGAGTTGGACATGCTCATATAGCTCCAGGGCAGGTACTGGTGAGAGATTTTGAGGAAACTGAAATTCGTATTGATCTTGGTCAATAGCTGCTTCGTGATCGTACTGCTCTTCATGGTTGGCCAGGTCCTCATTCTCCACAAGGTTTGGCCTTTGCCATTCTCCTAATCCTTGCCCTCATCATTGGAACTCCATCTCACCCTCACTGCTTTCATAGTTATCTGGTTGACCATCCATGGTGTTGGTTGTTTATCGCTCTGTAGCTTTTACAATTATCCCACAATATATTGTGCATCATGAATACTTACATCATAATTACCATGGTTGTTGCTAACTTTACATTCTACAGCTAGTCTCTCCATTGCCGCCCCTCCTACTCACCTAGTGTGACCATAGCGCCAGTGTTTGAAAACGGTTTAAGGGATGGCTCTGAAACCTGTATGATACTAAAGTTAGTATTTTTTGTATTCTTTGGGCAACCTAAGGAGGAAATTCAACGACCCCAAGTCGGCTACTTTTTGTCTAGTATGATACGCTTACACTACCATTGATTTCTGTTACCGGCTTCGTATCATGCTCGTACATGGGGTCAGACCAACCTTCGTGCATATAAGCTCATCCCTGTTATAGCTTGGCCGCATAACTCTAAAAAGTCAATCGGGTGTGACCCCCATCTCACATGTCATCACTAGAAATTCAGTAAAGTCGAGAGAAAAAGCCCTGCGTAATTTATTCTCTGAAAAATGAATTCATCGAATCATAAAAACCGCACAACACCTCCCAGAAAATTGACCAGCTGAATATGACACAAGGAGAATAGAAAAAGGAAGGGGGAAAAAGTGTAGATCCAACACCCAATCAACTAAACTAAACTATGGAAAAACTAGGAACGAGGTTAAGGAAATGTTTTACCACCAATCTCCCTGTGCTTTCATAGCGTTGACAACCTTGACATAACCAGCAATGTTGGCACCAGCAACAAGAGAAGGAAGCTCGCCATCGGCAATGTCATAGTACTCCTTGGCGGTGTTCAAGCAATTCCAGAAGCATCTCTCCATAATTCCAGCAAGCTCCCTGTCGACCTGCTCAGAGGTCCAGGAGACACGTTGGGAGTTCTGAGCCATCTCAAGACCAGAGACAGCAACACCACCACAGTTGGCAGCCTTAGCAGGGCCATACCAAAGACCATCTAGAGAAAATTAGTACATGTTCAAAAGAAGTGGGGAAATAGTAAACGCTACTCACCGGCCTTGCGACATCTACGATCATCCTCGTAAACGTTGATAGCCTCCTGGGTAGATCCCATGTTGGATCCCTCAGCCAAGAACTTGCATCCCTTGCCGATCAAGGCTCTAGCTTCCTGCTCGGAGACTTCGTTCTGGGTCGCAGAGGGAAGGGCGACATCGACCCTGTCGACGTGAGACCAGGGTCTCTCGCCAGGAAGGTACTTGAAGCGAGACTGGAAGGAATCTTCAGCGGCGTGGAGCTCGGTGAGGTACTTTCTATCGAGCTTCAACTGGGCAATGAGCTCAATGTCGGTCTCGTTGAAACCCTCCTCCCCAATGGCAACCAAAGCACCCTTGGAGTCAGAAAGTGAGATGACCCTTCCTCCAAGCTCGAGGACCTTAAGGGCAGCGTATTGGGCAACGTTTCCAGAACCAGAAATAGCAACACGCTTTCCAGCGAAGGTTTCCTTTCCACCGGAGCTATAAGAAATCATATGAGCAACATACTTTTGACAACGATCAGCTTTGCTCACCAATACGTCATAACAGGAGTATCGATAAGATAAGGGGATGAAGGGGGAAGAAGAAAAAGGCGAACTAACGTAGACAAGACCATAACCAGTAGCCTCTGGGCGGATCAAAGAACCACCCCAAGTGATTCCCTTCCCAGTCAAGACACCCTCAAACTGGTTCCTGTAGGACTTGTAGGCACCAAAGAGGTATCCGACCTCGCGACCGCCAACACCGATATCACCAGCCGGAACATCAGTGAATTGACCAATGTGCTTGGAGAGCTCACGCATAAAAGCGTAGCAGAAGCGGCGGATCTCGTTGTCAGACTTTCCCTTGGGATCGAAGTCGGACCCTCCCTTACCACCACCCATGTTGACTAAAGGGAAAAACAGAGTTAATTGGAACAAACTTTAATTATTAGGGGAGGTGGACAACAACTTACGTCCAGTCAACGCATTCTTGAAGATTTGCTCAAAACCCAAGAATTTGAGGATGGATAGATTGACGGAGGGGTGGAACCTCAAACCACCCTTGTAGGGACCGAGAGCAGAGTTGAATTGAACCCTATACCCACGGTTGACTTGGAAATTGCCTTGGTCATCCTCCCAAGTGACACGGAACTGGATAACACGCTCGGGGACGGAGACGACAGGCAAAGCAGCCTTGAGATCCGGAGAGGTCAGAAAGAGCTTGGATCCCTCAAGAGAGTGAACGAGCTCTAGTAAAAGGAAAGTTTGTCAGAAATTGACGGATCTATCACAGCAAACCCACGAAGAGCCAAAAGCTAGCGGAGAACATCCTCACCATTATAAGCTTGCTGAAATTCTGGCTCAGGGGCAAGGTTGGACATGTTGAAGTTTAACTGATCTGAGGTTGTGAAGTTTGGAAGGCTTTTGTTTGTTTTTTCTGTGAAGTGGGGTATGTGGAGGGAGTGGTTTGTAGGGTTGGGCGGAAGTGAAGGGGTAGATAAAGGATTCGCAAGTCTCGACGGGTTTGCTTTCTCGAGAGTCTTCACCTAGAGGCGTCACGTCTGGCTGCTCTTCGCAGAGGGGGGGGGGGGAAGGGCCTCCCTTTAAAGGCAGAAAGAACAACTCCCCACAACCCTGAAGGCCAAAAGACGAGCGGGAGAAAGCAGGGTATGCCCTCCGCAACGCGGTACTTTGGGGGATGGGGGGCGTAGGTTAGGACTGGGGGAGAAAAAACAACTATCATAATTATCATATCGTGCGATTCCAAAGAGGGCAAAGAGGGCAAAGAGGGATTTCTTTTGGCGTAATGCTCGACAGCAACTCAACTGCAAACCCTGCCGGACCGATCCTACCGGTAGTCTACTCGTAGAAAGAGAGCGCTGGCATTCCAATAGCGTGACATACATAACGCTGAAGATGCCGACATGGTCTCAGCACATTGTTTGCGGATGCTGTGTGCAAATAAAACATCAAACAAGTGAGAAGAGAGAAAGGTCACGGGTACGCAAGAGTTAGCGGTCTCTACCGGGGTACGAATGCAGGTTTTTTTGATTTGCGATAGAGCGGGGAGCGTTCTTTCTCAGAGGAAAGAAAAGAAAAAACGCTCCGATAACCTGAATGCAAAACATTTCTCAGGGTGTGGTGGTGATGGTGGAGCTGGTGGTGGTGGAGGAGCTGTACGAGTACTGCAGTGTATCAGAGAAGGCACTGGTAAACTGGGCCAGGAAATAGAATTGGGTTACATCTGGGGTTTCCATAACTGCCCGGAGAAGGTGGGATGTACTCTATCTCGTGGTAGGAGTGTGGGGTGAAAAAGTACCGGTAGGTGAAATACAGGAAGCACGGTGAGCACTGGAGCAGAGCCCCGTCGCCCCCTTCCTCCGCGCGGTCGGTCCCGGAGGGTGAAATCAAAAACGTAACAAAAAAGTCCAAAATCGGCAAGGTGGCACACAAGGGACATGCTTCAGATGAGAGAACTAGAGCCCAGAAGTTTGGTATTTGATGTTTTGATCGTGTAGGACGTTGATCCCACCAATGGGAGCGTAGCGATAAGGATCTGTCAATGACACCGACAAATAACGATAAACGGAGAGGAAAGGACGGTTTTGGTCATGGATCAGAGGGGAAATACTCGAGTAGTCTAGAGTAGAAATGAAAATCAATTGGATGGAGTGGCAGATAAAGCCAAAACGCTAAATACCCCACCTGCATACCCCGTGGTCTTGACATCCTCCTGCAAGATGGAAGGCAGCAGATGGGATCATGGTGGAAATAGTTGCACAACCGGCTACCTCCTACAACCAGCAAAAAAAAAAAGGGAACCACTCCAACATGCCATGCAGGGTATGCGCATACAGACTACAAAATTGAATTAAAATAACAATTTCACCTGTGTCATAGATATTCACAATACCTATTACAACTCGTTTTCCCCCTTTGAGCCTAAAGACGGACTGACATGAAGGAGGGGAAGTCGGTAAAAAGCCCGCCTCACTTCACTGTCCAGCATTTGGGGGTTCCACCGTTTGTCACTCACTCATCCACTCACTCACTCACTCGCTCGCTCACTCCGCTTCACCCCTCCCCCCTCTTGGTCCGTGGAGATGCGGATATCAGACGACACCGGAGATGCCTGAGTAGAAATGGTGAGACCAACGGGAAAAAATAATAATATATGGAATGAAGGTTGGAGAGCGGTGAGTCCCCCCTTCCCCACGCTCCCCAATTGGATGGAACCAACGACTTCTCGATTCTGGGGTTAAGTTTATCGGGAAGCAAAAAGGGTAGAATGACGAACCAAGGCGCGGTGCGGTATGTGGAAGCTGGATCCTCGCCTCCATCTCTCAGAAACCACGGTCAATTCTTTCCGCAGACTAATGCAGGGACACGGTTTTCGCCATGCTGAGCTGGACCTATACAAATAGACCACATCGGTCTAGATGACTTTCCCCTTCAGTTTCCTTTTCCCTTCAAGTTCTTTAATTGCAATAAAATTCATTTTCTAAACACTTCCTGTTCCCCGATTCCAAATTGATCGCAAGCACGGTGCGGAAGCATTTTAGCGCGGGTGATGAGGATGAAGTTCCTAAAGGCTGGAAGAATGACAGTCATGGATGTTGCTACAGCATTATACGCGGGCACCGCACTCCTGCCATACCCGCCGCAACGCCCAGGAATGACGGATAGCTAAGATGCTAATGATAATGATAATGCCGCAGTGCTGGAGTGAGCAGGAGGAATGGAGTTTGAAGAGCACACGAGTGCAACACCAGATTTGAGTACCGTATTTACAACTGGTATGAGGAGACTGTCCGCGAAAGTACTTGAAACAACCCCTACAAATGGCCCCCGGTCAAGTTTCAAGTTTCCTCCCATGTATGCCGATTTCCACTTATCCAACCCCAATATATAACGCATCAGGAGACGCAACTGACGCGCACGGTACCATATACCTTATGACCTGACTGCACAGCAAACCACAATATAAAGGGCCTTGATGTGAATACCAAACTATTTTGCGAGCAAACCGTTCAAATGATCGACAGTACAGGGATATGAAAGATTTTTGCACAGTCAACTACAAGCAGAGCTAAGAAAAAAGGTATAAAAAAAAAGGCACGAAAGATCATAAAGCGGAAACAAAAGACACCCAATCTACCGGCCCTCCGAATCAAAACAGTCCGAAGGCCCATGAAGAAATGCAAGAACAATATGTAATAACCTCTAAATAAGTCCGTTCCTGTTGCTCAATTTAATCACAAACGTGACTGACTTACAGATTCGGCGAAAAACAGATGAAGGGTAGATCAGGACTTCCCCTCCACCTGCTGATTATATCCCACCCGTTATAACACCAAAAAAAAAAACAAGGAAATCATTTCACAACCACAACAAGAGGCACTCGAACAAATCTTTACAATAAGGCGGCGAACCCAATTGTGATCAATCCCAGCGACCATCCGAAAGTCATGCTCTTAGCGGAACCAGCACCATTTTTCTTGGTGGAGTCACCGCTGCTTGACCCGGATCCACTGGCTGAGTCACTACCAGTTCCAGTGCCGCCACCAATGTTAATTCCAATGCCACCATCAGGGATATCAGACTGAGTGTACGTAGCGACCTCTTTGACAGTCTTCTCGGTGATCTCTTTACCCTCACTGTCGGTAATTTTGTGAGTGGTGGTGAACTTAGGGCCGGTAACGAATTTTCCCTTCACGAACTTGGTCTTGTCGACACCGCTCTTGATATACTCAGCGCCTTGGGTGGTGGGAAGAGTGAAGTTGGCGGTAATGCCGGTCAACTTGCTCGCAGCAGGGCAATCAACCGGGCGCGTTGGGTTGCTGGAACCTGAAGGAATGGTCGGTTCCTTAGGGGTCTTCTCGAACGCGTCACCGAGTGAATCAAACTCCTTGAGGATGACGGCATCTTCGTCCTTAGTGATATTAACGAGACCATAGTCATTGGGCTCCTGGGTGAACTCGTAAACCAAACCACCGGAGAAAACGCCCGTCATCTTCTCAGAGTAAAGAGCGTCGACCTCCTGCCAGATTCTGGGACGGACTTCGTTACAACCATACCTGATCACCCGTTAATGTTCAAATTTCCAAGATAGTAAAGCGGATAGAGGTTGTACTCAGTGAAGAAGATAGGAAGAGAGTAGTCCTTATAATCCTCAACAAGTTTGTCATAGCCCGACCCGGTGAAGGTGTTCTTACCACACCATTGATACCTTCAAAACACGTTAGAATCATATCCAATTACATACAAGCTGGAGGAAACTTACGAGTTAACACCCCAGAAATCAATATATCCAGTGTCACCGCACTCAAGATAAGCAGCAAGAGCAGTACGGAACCTCAAGTCATCGGCGTTGGAATAACCAACGGGGATTCGTCTGTGAATCTGATTGGTGATGTAGGCCTTCATGTCACGCACAACAGCCTTGACATAGTTGGGAGATGCCTTAGCGGATGTGGGGTCGAAGATAACTTCATTACCAGCCAAGAAGGCCAATGTGTTATCATACCCAGAGAATACATGCATAACGCTGAATATGTGCTCCGAGTACATGGAAGTGTAAGTAGTCCATGGCTCCTCGTTGTTCAAGTGCTGATGTTCGAGCGGAGTGTTGACATCCAAAACCAGGTATATACCAGCAGCGGCCAATATTGTCATACACTCGTTGTGATCCTGGGTGGGATCTACGGAGTAGACTCGAATTGTGTTGATACCGAGTTGCTGGAAAAGAAAGACATCACGAGCACACTTATCAGCATCGGTCAGGGGGTCTCCTCCCTTTTCGACATTAGCGGCACCACCAGGTTGGTAATCGACACCTTTGATCTATATAGTATCAATTAGCAAACTGACTCTAATAGGTGTCCGTTTGAAAGACTTGAGGACAACATACGAAGAACTCCTTCTTAGTTACGCTATCGATGAAGTGTCTACCCTTGAGCTCAATTGTGTTAATGGCAGTGGTCACACCACCTAGGAGGCCTAATGCACCAAGAAATGCAACAGTAAAACGCATTTTGAATGTTTGTAGATTGTGAAATAATATGCTGTTAGAGAGCGACTAGTAGAATTTTGCAATGCCGATGGGCTGACTAGGTTAAATGTTGTGATAGTATGTTTGCTTGTGGTAGCAGCGGACGAGGACAGTGTATCGCCTCTGATGTATACCGCTTACGCCCGGCGAAACGATGAGGGAACAATTAAAAATGGAAGGAAAAATGAAAGAGGAGAAAGAGAGAGTGTCGTGAAGGGTTGTAGGAGAATGGGTAAGGAGAAGAAGAAGGGAAGGGGGGGGAGGAATCGTCCTTGAAAAAGGGGATACCTGTGAGAGCCAAGACCCTCAATAAGAACTGAGACATATGCCAAAGAAGGGAAAGAGGGCCAAAAGGGGTGGAGGGTGTATGGAAATATGGTACCGCTGCGCAGTTGTGCACGCGCTCACACACACCCAGCCCAATTTCCCGCAACCAACCCAGCGCTATCTGTAAGGGGAACGCTATGTGTGATTGGCTCGGCAGGGGCAGCGGCCAAAAATCAAACCGCCGCCGGGGCCAAAAAGGGAGGTTGCCTTATTTCCACGACAAAGCCTGCGACCATTCAATCACCGCCAAACATCCCAAGCGAACCTCTCGATAATGATACAGTACCAGTACGGTACCAGCAAATTTCTTCCAAACGCTCAACAGAAGCCTTCCCCAGCAGAGGTAGTCCACCGCTCGAGAAGGACTTGCGGATCGGCGGAGAACTCCCTGATTTGATAATGATAGATACAAAGTACCTTGCCAACCTGGGCTCCTGCGTATAATTACCGTACGAGCACGGAAGGATGAGTGAGTGATCTGCATTTGAAAGGAAAATTGTGCTCGAGTTCAAATGTTCCTTCTCCCTTCCAAAGCCTGCCCCCCTCGGGCCCCGATGTGCCCGCTCCGCTCGTGCAATTTTTGGTTACACCATTTCGTTCCATTCCATTCCATCCGCCAGGCCCGAAGCGGGCCATCACCGGTATTCCTGGATGCAAAAAATCGCCAAGATGAAACGGTCAAACATATTCGAGTACTCGAGTATTGGGAGGGGGCCCCAAGATCTTCAACGATCCCGTAACCGCCCAAGACCTCTGTCACTATGGCGATGAAAGTCTGCTACAGCAATTCCTAGAGCACTAACTTAGGACTAAGAGCTCTCTACTCGTACAGAAACGCTCGACCCACCAGTTCAACTCGAATGTACTAGTACAAGTACAAGTATCATAGGTTAAAATTCGCGGGAAGGAGAGGAGATTTGGGGGGGAAGATGGAGATTAATTTGATGATCCAGATTCCTCTCAAGATGAAGAAAGGAGGCTGTGCAGTCTACCGGCATCCCGATACACGCCCTTTCTCTAAAGAGTAAGCATAAACTTAAAACGACCCACAACGGGACAGGGGCGTAATGCAAGGGGCAAGAGAGAGGGAACTGAAAGACAGACCGAAAGGGATCTCCAAGGTTACCGTACCCTACCCTCTCGAATTACGATCAGCGAGCTTCTTTGTAACAGTTCTCTGGCAAAGCGTTATTTTTAACTCAAGCCGCCGAGATGACTTCGCTACAAGCGCCGTGTTGTGTCCTGAGGCTTCTGATAAAGAAAGAGAGAAAGTCTAAAAGAAATATAAGTTAAGCTGATCAGCGGTATCACCAGCATAGTACCGGTACAAGCCTTGCATTCGTGATACGAAGATGTAAAATAAATACCGGTACGGTATCAGCAACAGAGAATGTTCATCGACACCATTATATTTTAAGTGCCCGAATGTATTGATGCCAGCACCGGACCCCCCTTTTTGTTCCAGTACTGCTTGTAACAGTTTCCCGAACACTGAAATGGCAAATCCACCCTGAGCATCTAATAAAGCTGAGTGTATGATGGGATCTACCCAAGCCTAGCATAACACTGGTACCTATCCCGAACCTGAAACATGCCGTCCTGAAACTTTCAACAAACGCCTTCTTTTTTGGAAACTCAATGCTTCCCTAGCTAGCTAACTTGTTCCCTGCTATCCGCCTCCATGAACCCGTCGGTCAGGATTATTATCGTACAATAATACTCGTACACGCTAGTTAGATTAGATTTGCTTGGTTCGCTCGGAAATCAATTATCCGCGGTTCGCATGCCGTGAGGGTTCACACAGATGATTGGGGGGCACAATTTTAGTCACGGGCTTTTCAGAACCGGTGCCTGTATTCTGGGGAGCGACAGCCCGCCGACATCTGGCTACTCTACTGTGCAATGCTCTAGTTAGATCTAGCAGATGATGGAGTTGTAAATTTTTTGGTTGGTAGTGTCAACTGGGCTTGTCGGCATGCCTCGTGGTGTGGGCAAGGTGCTCTGCACTCTGCTCTTGCATTTCAGGGTATTAAAAACCGCCATTGCGGGGCCCATTTGCTACGGCGCTCAGGAGACCGAGAACGGGTCTGGGCGACCGTGGGCACGGTAGTGAGAAGGTCACACTTGCGATCATAGAAGTGCTTGCGCTGGTACGGATACCGCAACTGGTAACTTTTTACAGCGCTAATATTGAAAATTCAATGATGTCCTTGCTTCCGCTTTATGGGGGACCGGCGGGGCGTAGATGATGGGGTTCAATGGATCTACTCGAGTACAAGTGCTGTGGTGGATCTACGGTACTATACGAGTACCGTACTACACTCGTACAGTACCGATACCAGTGTCGGGATTGTCCCCTGGGTCGGTAACTCTCCGCTATCGTAGCAGAGCCGATCCCCGGTTCAGCAAATCACACCCTGCGGCGTAGGCGTGATACCGCAATTGCTGGTATCAGCATTGAGTTGATCCGTTGCGTTGTGGTGGAACACCGGTAGACTGCCCCTCGTTTGATTGAAGCTCGAGAGAGAAAGCAAATTATCGCTACAATACGGTGCCACATATCATCGAAAAACGTTGCTACACGCTCCAGGAGAACATATGTGGCTATAACCGGTTACAGTGCCATATCCAGGGGCATTCAATACAACAAACCCTCGAATGGGGGATCTTCATCCAGCGATTGATCTGCAGACTAAGTTACAGAAGTTGCTTACTCGAGCATACGCCTGCCCTGCCTTGGGTTCTCGCACATGTATGAGAAGGTGAGTAATCATTATCGAAAAAGGAGAGTTGATAATGATATGATATTCCTCTTTCAGTTTACTACCGCACGGTACCCCTTCGTGCTCATTTGCTCATTCGGAGATGCAACATCTTGGGCTCGAACAACTGATCACTGAAAGCCCTTCCTGTGCTGGATATTTCTTTATGTTTGGGACCAAATGAGGACGAGATACCGGTATAGAGGGAGAACCGCTTTGTTTGAACCCCATACTTTTGTGGTATGTACAATTGGAATTGCTTCATTCTCTCGAGACATATTCGCCGGCATTTAGAGAGATTTACTTTGCAAATTTGATTTGCCCCACTACCCCATCCGAAGCTAGTGGATTCAAATCAGACCTAGAGACCCTATCATAATTATCTGGATCTGCGGGGTTGACAAATATCACCTACATGAGTGCCAATTCTTGCATCTGACCTAGTGAGATTTCCGGAGCTCCAGGGCGCGCGTGAGGGATTGTTTCTACTACAGTGCGACTCGAGCGGACCATGTACAGGAGATAAGCCTTGCAGATCCGCGAAGAGAGCACGGTTAACATCGGCGGTGCCTGGGATGGGGGCGGAGTGGCTAGCCCGCTGTACCGGACTAGCGAGCAAACTCCCACCGATACGAACTCCTTCCTGCACGAATTCGCTGTGCTATGCTCGAAAACTGTGCAGAAATAGACATGAGCAACAGATCCAATTTATGGGTCCATTGAAAGGTCGGCAGTGTGGTTGTACTCGGTCATGTTTCCGGGTATCCGAGGTTGATAGTGAATTACCATCAGGACGGCAAAGCTAAGGTGTGCCCCGGTGACTGAGAGATCAGTGATAGCCGTTGGGGAAAGCATGGTTTCTTATGCCAATTCGTTCAGAAACACAAACCCACTGGCTCATGATGATAACAACAATGTGTGCAGTGGTGTCGCTCCTGCATCTCCGGCAACGGAGGAGGAGACCAAAGTTATCCAGACAGTACATTAACTTGCCTTTTGTCTCCTCGGCCAGCGGACTTATTGTCCTTCTGAGCCAAGTCGAACTGGCACCTTTTCTCGAACGCAGTACATTCTATCATATTTGAGATTCTGGGGGTAATTAGAAAACCCGGAGAAATGGGCACTCATATCAATCTCATTTTATATTTCCTAGGCACTCACATGGAGTGTCTTGGATAGGGGTTGAACGAGGTGGTCAGTGAAAACAATCGCACCTTTTGAGTTTGGCACCAACTTATATTGTATCTCGATTGGCTATATCTCTCTTGTGAAAGTTGCCTTGGTCTTATCGTGAGCAGAATACTTGTATCGTATGTTAGGATACGATACCGTGCGGTATTAATTTAATAAGACAACAACCTATTTGACCCCCCTTCTCGATCATGTTCTTCGAACAGGTTTACCGGTATGGTGCCTCATCTATCCACCCCACCCGCACCAACCATGGAGCTCCTCATCCGTTGTGCTGCTAGCTATTACTGCCCTCGCCACCGCCATATCCGCCAAAGATATATCCGACCTCCAAGTCTGCGGAGGACGCCCCCAGAATGCCAACTCAGGTCATAGATCATCCCAACCACACCGCAACCACTTACCTCCCTAGCATGACCGGAAGCGCGCTAATAGGCCTTGACTACACCTGCTCTCACGCTGGATTTTCTGATGGCGCATCGACCCGCATTCAAGAATCTTCCAATGTCCTAGTAGGATCGAGCGGTCCGGGAGATAGTTACCTGGGAGGGCGGGTATCGATAGCGCACCGTACATCAGCGTTCATTGCTGAGTTGTTTTTTTCCGCAAGGATGCGGGGTATCGACGTACCGTATCGATCCATGTGCCGTTGGAGAGAAAAATCGGCATAACAGGAGGACTCACGATGACTGGTTTGCACCGCCGGCTGGGGGGACCTGTGTGGGGTGGTATGATACAACTTCTTTGACGGTGGGAGATATGGACGTCCACCGCATCTCCTGTATCACGATCATGTTGTGTGGGATGACTTCGAGGACTTTTTCGGTGTCTAGAGTGCGTATCATGGGCGGGATCTCTATGATATTCGTACCTCCTCCTCATCTTTGCGAGTGAGGTTTCTCCCTTCACGTGTCATATTTACTTATATTTGTGGGGTTGGTTTTGGAGTTGACGTTATACATATAGGTCGACTTCCCTTGAGGATTTATCCCACCACCACGACGCCAAACCAAACCCAGACAAGTGCAACGAGTGATCCCACGTGACCCCATCCAACGCCCTCCCCTACCAAAACCCTCACGACGCTAGAGATCCCAGAGGGGGGAGGGGGAATACCCGTCCATAATATTATCATATCATACCTACGCCGTAGTATACATAGTATCAACCGAAAATTCAACCTACCCCGACCCCACTCCCCATGCGGCCGGCAATTACGGTTGTCCTCCCCTCTTGACAGCGTTACTAGACAATACCCGCTGCGAGCACGGAAATGAGGGAGGGGGAGTGGGCCCCTTTCGAGAACTCTCGCTTTTGCTCGGGGTTGGGGTTATCTTGGGCACTTCTCGGGTGTATATATGGGTATCGGTCGCCTTCGCCCGGCGATATCATATCATACTTCTACGTAGTTGAAAAGATCTACTTGAGTCGATACCTGGCTCTGGAACTACTGTATCATATTTCCAAACTCCTCTGCGCGATCACAACATCTCACCCGGCGGTTGCAGTGCGTGTATTTACCATGATAGTCCGCCTCGGGCCGCGAGCGTGGTAGAGTAAGAGCAGCAACTGTATTCTACCAGCTGTTCCACAATATCACCTCCTTAGATACTCCCCCGGGTCGCTGCTCCCATACTAGCATCCCCTCCGTTCTCATAAAATCGCAAACGAAAAGTAAAAGTAGTTCGAGAAAAGTTAGAAAGCACCCGCATTGGACCACTAAACGAACAAACTCGCAAAACCCTCTACTAATAACAGGGTAGAAACTCGAACAGACCGTGCACGCCGACGAATCACAAGTGAGCAGTAGCTAAACATAATAAAAGAGTGCATAACCACCCCGTCTCCCTCTTCCAGATTCTCATTACCTCCGCATGAACTGCAATCCTACCGCCACCATCAAACACCATATCACACAATTTGCAGTGCATCGCGATCATGAACGCTTGAGACGGGGATATTAAGGCATAAAAAGAAAAAGTAAAACAGACCAAACTGAAAACACCAATCCATCGTTCGCTCATGCCATCTTAGCCCAACCGACTTGGATCACTGCCCCCCCCTCCCCTTAAGCCTGCTAGGTGTGTTTCTAACAAGCACTTCAACACCTTTGGCCCGTTCCTCGTACAAAGCCCTCAACTCCTCGACAACTTTACCTCGTCCCTTCATACTTCCAACCTCAGTTTTCGCCCTCTGCATAGTCGGGGGCGGTGGTGTCCGGCTCTTGAGCTGGACGTTCTTCTGTACCTGGGATTGATTTAGCGAGTTGGCGATATCGGCGACGGATGGGGATGAAAACGACGAGGAGCGCAGTGATGACGAGGGGAATGTGGAAGAAGCTGCACGGCGTATTACACGCGGTGGCTTCGTAATAGGGGATGATGATGTAGAAAGGTGGGGTGATGGTGATGATGGGTCGGGGATCAAAGATGACGGTGTGAGGGTTGGGGGTTTCGGACCTATTTCGGGTGGGTTGTTTGTAAAACTCTGGAATGATGCTTTCCTCTGTAGTGCCCCTTCACTCGATTTTGTGGGGATTGACGGAGCGGAGCCCCTCCGGGGGAGTTCCTCATCGGCCGAGAGTCCTGGAGTGGGAGAGCGTTTTGTATCTTCCCTTTGCTCTTCGGGTTCAATCAATTGCCTCTCATCCGGTTCGCTAGTTGGGGGGAGATGTGTGACCGAACTAGAAGCACTGCCGGAGACCGGTTTCCGAGCGGTCATTCCGCCCTCCATTTCCTTCGTGCCCATGATACCCGGAAGCCTTTTCCTCTGAACAGGCTGCATACTACCCATCGAATACGGTGGGGGAGACCCCGAGGGCGGCGGCACCTCGATCAAGCTTGAGCTGCTCCCGCTGCTACGACGTACCGGGCCGCCCCTATTTGGCAGCTCCGGCGCCAGCTCTTCGATCCTCTCGATAGCTATTTGGATAAAAGTCCTCAAGCCATTACAAGCTTTTGCATCAGCCATCATATCATCCGACTTTAATAAACTTGGCGCGACGCAAACGGCCAAATTGATTGGACTCATCTTGTTTACCGCCGAATTCTGTGCAACCAGCGCGAGCAAAGGCAATAGATGCCGCAATAGAAGGACTCTACTGCTCTTGGGTAAGCCATCCTCTAGCAGATCCTTCACCTTCAGGAATGCCTTTTCATCACCAAGCCCCGCCTCTTCGAATGATATCAAATCCTGGTAGAACCTCACCGGGACAAGAGGCTCTGGAAGGGAGCGGTAATATAGCTTAACTAAAGCTGCTGCCATATGTGGACCCCACTCATCCCATTTGATATATTGCCTGCGGTCATACGCTTCCCGGACGACATCGAGCAGGGCCTGGGACGGAGTCACTCGGAAAAGTCCTTCCACACATAAGCACTGTGATCTCAAATAACGCGCAGTATCTACCAAGACTTGTGGAAGTGGCATGTTTTCGCCAACTCGTGGTGGGTTGGCAGCGGTATGGAAGGGTGGGCACCCAAATATTGGAGGGGGGGGGTCCGGAATTGAGATTGTTGCGGCAAGCTTTCGATCATGTAGGTACACCGCCGGAGGGATGTGAAGTTGGGTAATGTCGATATGGTTTGCCAGATCGGTGAGGGTGTTTACTATAACGCAAAACAAACAATTCCGGCGGCCAAAAGTTAGAAATCAGGACAACTTATATGTGGTAGTAGATATAGAAATGTGGGATTAGGAGTTTCACATACGGTGAACGACCTTCTCCCTGAACTTGACGGATACCACCCCCGCCATTACTTCCAAGATGACCCTAACCCACGCCCTTTCATGAACAACCCATAGCTTTCGAATTCTCTTCTTCAAGGCTCTCCCTAACTGTTTCATCCGTAAGTGCTTTGTGGCCCTCACAAGTTTGAGCCCGGAACGAACGTACCAGATGATAAGCCTGTAACGTCCACGCCCAAGATGGTCTATTCCCTTTTCCCGCATTCACCCCTCCTTCTTTGCCGCCAACGTTGGCACTGCCACCACCGGCGAAAAACACAACAGAATATCCGCCACCATCACTCTCCTCGCCGAGCTCGTCGTCTCCGGGTAGAATACTCAGCACGTATGGCAATAGCTCGTTATAATCCACCTGTCTAGTGTCCGGAAAACTAGCCGCACAGAGAACTAACAGCGGCCCGCCACTAACCGGACAGGCACCAGCCCTGTAGAGAATCTTCGCGGCCAACCCGGCTAGGGCGTGATCATATTTGGGATCCCCTTCTTCCGGTGCCTTTGCTGCCGGAGGCGGGGAAATGCTTCCGGGTAGCTGATTGTATGTCTCGCGCCGGAAGTCTTGGAACTTATCCGGGACCTGGGAGAGTTTGTCGGGAACTTGAGACAGCTTGTCCGGGACCTGGGATAGCTTATCCGGAACCCAGGCTATTTTGCTCTCAATTTTGTTCTGTATGGTGTTGAACCTATCTGGCATAGAGTCCCTGAGCCTATTGAATGTTGAGCGAGCCGATGAGCCCGGAGGCGGAGAACGGCGGCTCATCGTTGTTGTTCACGTTTTAAAGCTTTGTGCCTTGTTTAGAAGAAGGGAATCGGGCGGGAGGGTAGAGGACGAGGAGGGGGTAAAGAGGAAGGTGAGAGATGTGTTGACCGTCTGGTTGGGATGGAGTTTGTGCACGATATGTATGCAGGTGATCGGTCTGGGGTAGCGTGGGCTATGTCCTTGTTACACGACGTAATTGATGAGAACCCAAAAAGGATGCAACTGGACAGACTACCGCAGCAGTAGGAACAGCACTGAAGCGGCGATACCACGGACACAGCACAGGGGTGTAATGGTATCGTTGAAGCGGAGAAGGGAGGGATAGAAGTGAGACAGGGGACGAGGGGGGGATGAAGATGAAGAGGGGAGAGAAGCAGACTGCCCGTACAGTTATTACAACGGGAGGGTGTCTCACCCAGTGGGGGGAGCAGGGTCACTTGTTCACTCACTGGCTGCGCTGACGGTACCGTCAGAGACCCGGGTCTTCCGACGGGAAGGCATTGCGCTGGGGCCCATCAAGCACGAAAAACCGTGCACACACAAAGTTTCAATCATATCCTAAGACACGCCTCTAGCCCAGCTGCAACTATCATAGTGTACTGGCAAGGAGTGTCTGATCTCCATAGACTACCGTAAATTACTCCCAGCCAGAAGTTTGCGAGCTGAAGGCTCTTCTCCCTTAGTGTGCGCCAAGAGCTGAATATCATCCAACCATATTGGGATCCTAGCTATCCATCGTGCTTCAGGCAATCCAAGACCCTGAATATCACCATTCAAATCGCTACTGGTGGTGGGGGTGATCATTGAAGTTGTACGAGTACCACAGTTTTGCGCCCTTGGGTAGCTTACGTCACATCCACGGGGTGGCACGCCGCCCGAGCATCCCAAGGAAGAAACTGTTTAGTGAATTGGACTACTGAAAATAATACTGTATCATACGCGGGGATAATTTACTTTACCTATGGGCTACCACAAAGTACTAGATCAAAATGTTTCTCATTTGATGGCCTTTTCACACCAGGAGCTCACATCTTCAGCCCCCACCGGTAGACACCAATACCTATCATACGGAGAGATGCTGGTCAAGTCGGAGGTACTCGTAGACCTTTCCCTGTATGGTATCATGGTATCATAGCTTTATTATACAGAGCCCCGTTCAAATCTCAAGTCACTTCCACACCAATCGATACAATAACAAATAATAAGCTCAGTTCTAACTCATTTTATTTATGCCCCCAAGGTGTCAAGCACAGCACTGTCATGTTTTAGGATATCTCGTATGATAACCAGGGTCACCACGAAAAAAAAGAAAACAGCGAATAATAATTTATTATGATACAAGAATAATCAACTTTAAATGGCAACTACTAATCCACAAGCATTGTACTGTGGTCTGGCTAACAATCCAACCCAACTCTCATCCCCGGGAAAATTCACACGAGCAGCTATTGACTACCCACGCTAGATTCCGTTCTCACCATTGCAGATTCGCATGAGGACATCATGAAGAAAACCTTGACTTTCAAATGACTAACTTAAACTCCTGAAAGAAAAAAAAGCATGGCCCTCATTTCCAATATCCATCCGTCTGCAACTCCACAAACCACCATATCTCTTATGCAAACTTTTCCATACAAAATACAGCACACTCCGGTTCGCAAACTTGAACGGGAAAAATGAGAAGAAGAAAAAACACCCCTTGATATCGCCAATGACAAGACAAGAGAATGAAAGAATATCATAGGAAAAAGACAAATAGCGAAATACATGGTTACATTTTTCCATCCTTTCCCGTCCTTAGCGAGTAGGCGCGAGCCAATCTTTCCCTCTTTGATATTTTTATTTTTGTGAGAAAATCCCATCCAGTTCCAACCCAACCATGCCGAGAGAAAAAAAAGAGGAAGAAAATCATACAGCGAAAACAAAAGGTACAAGAAACGAGAAGAATCTTCCGGGGGGGGCTAGAAAGGTGAAAGGGAAAACGCTGAAATACCTAGGTTCGTATTCAGTGGGTGAATTTGGGCGAAACTAGGGCGCTAAGAACTTAGGACCAAAGTATACATACACAGAGAAGAAAGCGAGATGAGCAAACAACAAACCGAGCGAGAAGAGAAAGGCGAAGGGTATCAATTGGGATCTCGAGGTTGGAAGAAATAAACCTCTAAAGGGGACAGATACGCAAGCTGTTGCCCGGAGCCACTTCGATGGCGTATCTGGAACCGAAAAATGTTGAGTAAAAATATAAAACAGTAAAAAGCCCAATGCGTTGCTCCGTTCCGCTCAAAAGAAAAGAAACAGAACCCCCAGACACTATGATGCCAAATGAAACTCGTAAACGCCATGAAGCACAAAAAAATCAAACAGCCAAGCAACGTATGATGGTACAAAGAGAACAAAAAATGAAGTTCGGAAAGTTGAAGAACCTAGGTCGAATCCTATAAACATGTCGAAAGCAAGAGTATGAAAAACACCGTGAACCCGGTGCTGAAAACACAAACATCAATAAGCATCTAGAGCAAGCTGGCTGCCCAAAATCACAAGTCCGGACAGTGCCGGCTCCCAGCAATCGAATAATGGCGCGCGGACGAGAAGATTTACAAAAACGTTATTCCTCAGGTCGCAGACGTAGGCACTTTGAAAGCATGTGCCCAACTAAATAGATCGATCTTCTGGGATTCCTTCGGTGCAACAGCGGCGGGTGTGGAAGGCTCGACAGGCGCGGGTCTTGGCTGAGTCTCACGGGGTTCGAGGAGGAGGGAGCGGCGGTAGAGATGTTGAACGTCTGCCGTTTTTGAGTTATGTACTCTGTCGATCTGTGCATCGATCCACTCTTGCATCTCAGGCACCTCGGCAATCCTATAAGGAATTTGGAATCGCTGAAGCTCAGAGATGATACGGGCAGTCTTGACGTGCTTGTCAAAATTGATGAGCTGCTTGGTCGAACCTTCAGAAACAGGCCGCTTTGACGGATTTCCAACATCGATGAAGGTCAACTGAGGGAGAAAGCATTAGTAAGGATAGAGGAACATAAAGCTAATTGGTGGACTTACATCGGTCAAGTATGTTCCCAGGAAAGGCAAACATGGGGGAACATGGCCGCGTAGCCTTGCACGGAGAACAGCGTGGTTTTTTGAGACATCAATGACTGCTCGGAGGTGATCAAGAACCAATTTGGTCTTATACGAGACTAGCTCCCACGTTCTCTTAAGACGTCCGATAGTCGATGTGTTCAAGGTGCACATGATAGCCATTAGGGAGTCGTAGTTGTTCAACTCTAAGCAACGATCGGCAACCTTGATCCAATGCTTGATGAGGATGGCTCTGCGCTTGGGATCAGTGGCATCCAGAATAGTCTCAGCAACAAGATTGGCGAGGTCCGTCGATAAAGAAGACATAGAAAGAACGTTAATAGCCAATGATCCCCTCTTCTTGGTCCACTCTTGAGCCAAAAGCTCTTCCGGAAGAATAGAGCAAAACATCTTGGATTCCTTCAAAGTCAGCTGCCTTGCGAGTTCCGAAGGATCGAAATCGAGTACGGTTGGGTTGGGCCCACCAGTGAGGGCACTTCGGAGAAGCGAAAGTTGATTCCTGGTGACAACGGGGGGTTGGATAGGAGTTTCGGGGAGGGTATATTGGGTTGTAGCCGTAGTAGCCTTTCCAATGCCAGAAACCAGACGGGGTACAAGGGGACCGTCAGTTGAAGACACTTTCTCAGCCAACTCTTCAAGGCGTTTCCCCGCCGCTGGCAAGATGGCCTTCAATTTACCTTCGGCGAACGAAGTAATAGTCTCCAAACCCTCATCATCAACGTTCTTCCTCCAATGCGATTCAAGCCACCCCTTGAAGACGTTATAGACACGGAGGCGCACGGGTGCAGCTCCGGTAGTACTATCTCCCACAGAATCGAAACGATCAACCAAGGATTGCGCAAACTCCTTCGGTGTCGTAAAAAGGCGGAAAGTAAGATAAAACGTGGCGACGAAAACAGCATCGGGAGTCGAATCATGGACTGTAAGCCGTTCAACAAGGGCCGGAAGGGTTCCTCCTGTAATCTGACCGTCCCTGTTGAATGTCAAGTCTTCAAAAACTTGTTTCCCGGGTACCAAAATCTCACTTCCTGATCCACTCTCTAGAGATATTTGACTTCCCACCAGGGTAAGATCGAGACTGAGCAATGGGGTAGAAATACTGGTGGAGGAAACGGGCTCCGGGGTAGTTGCCCTGGTCGAGGTCATGCTTAGCTCGGAACCTCGTACGCTGCTAGAAATTGTATAATCAGCAGTAGTTATTGAGGAAGCCCCAATGCTGTCAGCCCTAATACTCTTTTGAAGCAATGTCTTTGAGTCCACATCGCGCTTCTGAGCGGTTTCACTGACATTGTCATATTGCGCTAATAATGGGGTAAGTTGAGGAAGAGGAGCAATAACAGATGCAGACGATGATCTTCGTGGTAAAGATGCACTCGGACTGCCAGGAACGATTGTAGAAAAAGCGGGATTCGATTCGGCCATTGTTGTATCCGCTGTGGGACGTTCAACTTCAAGCTCCGAAACAGGAAGTGTCGGAAGTGGTTTTTCATCAAGTGGGTCCTCTTTTGGAGGGGGTCTCGGCGGAATTTTCTCTGGTGTGGGCGGCGGGGGCATCAATTGCCTTTCTAGCTCTGCCTTTGCGGATGCGGAAAGCCCAATTGCGTCGTCAATAAGTTTTCCTTCCGGGGTCGTAATTCCAAGACCTATATCAAACGGTCCTAAATGTAACTCGAAGTCCCCTATTTTTTCAATAACGAATTTCGACTTTGCGACACATTCACCAGCTCCTCTAACACAGCCCGTTGCCGCGTCAACCAATTTCTTCCCACTATCAGGTATCATAATTCCTTCTTCATCTACTTCTTCCAGCTTTCCACATCCGGACACAACCTCTTTCGCAGCGGAAATCAGCGCCGATATTCTGGCATCCATGGCCTCTTTCGCAAATACTAAGGCCGCGGCTTTAGGATCTCTTGCTTCCACCGCCTCCACAATTGCTAACAACTCACGCGCTGCCCTAACCGACTCTTGCTGCGTAAGTTGGAGTTGTGGAGTAAACCGAGCCTCGTGATAAAGTCTACCGATATACGACCCAAGATATGACAAAAGAACATCATGCGTAACATTGAGACGAGCCAATGCATATGCAGGTTGTAACTGGCTTCCAAAAATTTCCCTGTCAGGTGACGATGGGCTACCTGCACGGGGTGTCTGCGAATAAGGAGTCGACGGCAATGGGTGAGAGTCTTGCGGTTGGGGAGGCGAAATGAGTTGCGAACCCCGATAATGACTTACACTATGACTTACACTCGAAGAACGCGATCTAGTGTCGTGGCCTTCGGTGTTGCCTTCCGGTGTCTGGTCCCCACGTACAGAGTTTGCGCCCGCCATGCTATGAGTTGTCGAGTCAGCCGGGGGTGTGGGTGGCACATGGTCATCTGCATCCTCCCCTTGAGCGGCCCCCGCTTCCTCCAGACTAAAATTATTCTGTAGGTTATGGCGCTGGTTCCAGATATCAAGAAATCTTACACCCCGCACCACAATTTTAAAACATCTTAAAATCATCTCATCAGTGACATCTTCGGTCGTAGGCTTGGCCGAACTATATTCCGAATGCCCAGGAAGTCGCTTGGCTGTCTTGACCAAAGCAGACAGTTCGGTCAACAATACCTTTCGAGTTCTCCGAATGCCGTCGTTGGATTTGACATTGGATGCTTCACGGGTTAAACATTCGGTTGTCTCCTAAAGATAATGGTCAGTAAATAACCAAATGACCAAAACATGAGTTTCCCGTTTCAAACGAACGACAATCCATTCATCCGTTTATAACCGGGAAAAATCTACAAACTCACTAAAAGATGCCGGACACCAGCCACTACACTTGTCACAGCAACCTGGCTAGCACGTAATCCCCCAGCGGAACCACCTCTGAACTTGTCGAAAAGCACAGCGCAAGCTTTCAGCAAAGGCCTAATCTGTTCGGGGTCAAACTCGTCGCAGTAGTTAGTAGGTAGCCATCCCCGAGCTCCGGAGCTAAGCATAGTCCCATCTGCCCAGCCATTGGTATGAACCGAATGCACGAGAATCACATCCCCCAGATTCAATGGTAATGTTACCGTAGATGAATCTGCTGAGAAGTTCGGATGGAATTCATAAAAAGCTCTTAGGAAAGGCTGAAAAGGTGGCGCCGGTTCTTTCCCAGGACCTTGCGCCAGCGAATCCTGAGAAGTATTGGGCGTTGGAGGGGGTGTTATCTGCTGGTGGGAGGAGGTGTGTGAATATGTGCTCGCAGATTGACTCCGGGAATGCGGTTGGCTCCTTGGTCGAGACTTTCTCGATGCATTGCTCAAGCTTCTCTTCGGTTTTGACGTCTTCTCTATTCGCAAAGGCGCAATGTAGATACTTGAATGTTGAGTGGAAAAGTCAGTTTCGTCCATGGTCATTTCTACTCGTGATTCCGAGATATTGCTGTCATTCCACGAGTGAGATATCTAAGGACGTTTCAATGCTGTGATGGATTTGATCGGTGAACAGCAGCAGCAGCAGATGAACTATACCACGAGAAGGAGGTGTCTAATTATTTTTATTAGATATTTAGTACATCAGATTATAAGCTGCTTTGGTCATCGCTAGCAAGGGCCCTCTCTTTCCTTCTTCCTCCCTTGTAGCAATAATAACAAGCAGCTGAAGAGAAAACCTACCTGAGTAGCAGAAAGATCACCCTAGCTCGTAATCGGTGAAGCGGTTGTGCTGGGTTGTGTTGGGATGCAAGATGGGTTTGGCTGACCTGTGGGTTCTAAAGTGCCCACGACTAAAGAACAGCCGGGAGCTTGCAGTTATCGTTGTTCGTAGACGCAGTCGTAGTCGTCGTCGTTGTCGCTGCACAAGTGGTAGATCCCAAGGCGTGCGTGTACCAGTACTATCCTTACAACACTATATCGCAACGCAACGCAATGGACGAACACCCGCTCTCGAGAATGCACAAGAGGAATTGAAGAGAATGGCGATAGTGAGGAGAACGGTACAACCCGAGGAATGAATAGAGGAAGAAGGATTATTGGAGGAGGGGGGGGATGAGCGGGAGAATATGGGCATGCACGGGATATCAACGAAAGAGAAGAGACAACCAGGTTGCACCCAGCAGAATGGACGGTTGATCAATCTGTGCTGGAATGATAAAAAAAACAAGGCGGTTTGTGAAGGGCACATACGCCCAGAGAAGTACTGGTGCTGCTTAGGAGAAAACGACTCTGGCACCGGTGGGGGAGGCTTGTGCACATATTCGAGAAAGGCAAGGGAACGGAGCTTTCTCTTCTAAGTTAGGAAGAATCCCTCCATTTCCCTCTCACTCTTGGTGCCAATTTGGGGGGGCGGACACCAAAAAGATACCAGGGCTACCATAGATGTGTGAGAATTACAGCAAGTATATACTACGAGTACACTAGTGCAATAAGGCAGCCCTCAAGACAGCACGATAGAGGGGAATAAGAAGGCATTTCTTGGCCAACTACTCCTTCCCAGCCTACCGTGGCGGTGGATGGGAAAAGCATCTCCCCCAAAACCCTTGAATGCTTGTCCTGCTGCCCGTGCTCGGTGCTAACCGTGAATGTTCCCCCTGTTCTATCTGCGCACTGACTCAAATCTATTCGCCAAGTTGATGGTACTGTACAGTACTCGTATAGTACTTCCATCCATACCGGCATATCTCTGTGTCGACAAGGACCCCAACTTCCCTCCCCCTCCCTTCCCCTCCTCCCCTCGACAGTTGGGCTTTTCGCATCTCTGTGTCGTCGGCAAATGAGCAAGGGGTGGTGGAACGGCGGCATGTGTGTGGGGAGGAGGACGGACAGGGAAAGGGTACTTGTAGGGGGGTACGGCAGGGGGGTTGCTTAGGGAGAAGGGAAAGTGTTCGGTGCTGTGCTCGTGCTCGTGTACTTGAGTACAGTACGGTATGCAAATGGACATGCGTAGAAATGAAAACCCAAACAAAATAAAATAAAAAGCCCATATTAGTTCGTCCAACCCAGACGATCGGTGGGCAGACCGAAAGCTACCGATAGGGTGGAAGAAGTGAAGGAACGAAAGACAAAAATTTGACCAAATGAGCACGCCTCAATTTCCCCAATGTCCAACAACCCCCGATTCGCACTGATCACAAATTTATTAGAATAGGTCACGTCCGAAAGTGGACAAATGGTATCCAAGAGCTGGCAAAGTTGACTAATAGTCACTCGATTCATAGCTCCGTCTGCTGAGGTCGTATTGATGATACTTGAATAAAATCACAATCCATCGCGTGACTCTACTCTCTCGAACAAGTTGGATGATGGAAAGGGCCATTCGTATAACCACTTTATCTCCCACGTCCGACTGGCTGAATACAAGAGGACCAGTAGTCGACGGCACGATACGGCGAACGGAGAAGTTTAAGGAGACTACAGTAAATCATAATCTCATTTTCTGCACCAGAGGAGCACTTGATGTTTTGCACCCACAATAGTCCAATTTGGAATGCTACAAGCGTAAGTAAACCCCTGTTCCCAGACATTAATCTTGGTGACACTCGAGGATTCCCCTCCAAGAGTTCAAGTTACCGAAGCAAATCCCGTTTAGCCCAAGTTCCTACTTGTAGAGCATCTCCTCGAGTATGCAGCCACATGCAGCTCAGGTCACGTTTTCCCCCAGCTCTAACCTTCTAAAAAGTGAACTTGTCCAACAAAGAGATCGCGTGTGCTTTTCACTTCATCTCTCCATCTCCACCATATGTTACCTGAGATAAAGAAAAGAAATTCCTCCCCCCCCCCCGATTTTCGCAGTGACAAGCTATTGAGGTAGGGCACAATGGAATGGAGGTATGAGAGAATTGACTTCAGCTCGCTGAGCGATAGCCATATATCATTTTTCAGCAGATTACTGAACGTTTCATAAACTTACCATAACTTACCCAATCGCAATGCTGGAGAGAGAAAGCAAAAGCAGCTTCCCATTCTATCGTTCGGTACGTTTCCGAGGACCATTCATAACTACCGGCTGGAAAACAATTGCCTCCTCCGATCAGAAACGATGATCGAGAGGGAAATACATCTAGCCAATTTGGGCAAAAATTTATGGTTCTGGAGGTGGACTTGGGCACCCGGCCTGTTGGTTGGACAAGAAAAACGTTGGTTCCATTTCTGCAACTACTCGTTACGAGGAACTCACGCGAAACATGCACAAAAAAAGTAATTCAAAGTGCATTTTGTACGACTCCCACAAAGACCCAGGGCTCACCGCCGGCGGAGGCTTTTTATTATTGTCTGATAGACAAGGGTCGATATGGCGGCACGAAAGGGTTGAAGGATGCATTGGAGCCAGAATTCATGCCGTACACCACCCCGAGATCGATCCTTTTACCCTACGTTGCCATGGCCAGGATGGCCGAGATGGGACGAAAATATAGTCGAGCACCGGTATCACTCGTGTCTACACTTCCAATGCTTCTACAAGAGCGCCAGCCCTAAGAAGTAATAACAATTAGGATGATGATTATAATAATGACACCAGGATTCACTTTCAGGCTGCAAAACCAATCCTCATCGAGATGGAACCCTGCACCTCTGTGGATAAGAATCACTTGCCAAGGGGATGTTAGGAAAGCTAGCACCTGCCGCCGCCTCGCGTAATCTCTCATCCCGCTCCGCCCGAGCGGCAGGACCCAGATTTCCGAAATCCAGTCAATCAACGCTCAGACCATGGACTGGAGGGCTTCTATTCTTCCATTATTTCTGAACTTCTGTGACCCGAGAGAATGTAGCAGTCTTGAGGTTGTGCTGATGCCTAAAAACCATTTGTCCCTCTGGCCGAATTTGTACCAGACAAGATGCACAAATATGGAAGGAACGGGTGTTCCAGTGCACAACAGACACATAGGACACAGCACGAGCACTGTGCTAATTCTCCGCTAAAGTAAAGCAGTGTACTCGTATTCAGATACTGCATCATTCCTCGACTATGGGCATGCCGGTATACTCGAGTACAGTACGAATACTCGTACATTGACCATACAAATACATTACCTACTGAAGCCAAGGCGTTGCTACGAGTATGATACTTGTACCATTCGATCTCTCTCCACCCCCCAACGCCTCACTTTACGAATACGGAACTCATCGCACCATCACCTCGCCGGAAACGATATCATAATCTGACCCCATCATTACGAACCTTTCCCAAAAAAGGTGGGGTGTACCCTTAAAAGAAAAGGTGGATCCCAGGAACCAGGAATCTTTCCACGAATCCGAGAGGCAGGATTGGAAAAAAAAGGCAAAAAGGAAGAAGCAAAAGAAACAAGAAAAAAGGGAAGAAACTGACTCCGAGGATGGTTTTTGGTGTCGATCCTCTAGCCCACACAACATTTCGGGGCGTTCACATTTGGAAAAGGGTTCGTTCTTCCGTCGGGGTGGGGTTTCGGAGACAGACTACTCGAGTAAGATGGAAGGCCGAGAAAAGGTAAACCCCGAAACCCGAACCACCGGCCTAGTTTTCTTGTTAAGGAAAAGCAGCAATACGCGATACAGTATTGGGTTAGTGTTATTTCATACCCCAAACCCTTATTCTTATTTAAAAAAATTTCCCCATGACATTGTGAAGTTGAAAGTTCCGGCTCATTACCTTTGAGTATTCCCCAGGAAAGGAGAATTGTCCTGTACCGTACCAGCACTCGAGTAGAACCGCGACGGGTGCTGATTTATTTGATTTACGCATGATCTACGTTGCAACAGCAAGAAATAATTCTGGTCCTGCACTACCTTGACGCGACTACCGTACTCGAGTATATGGTACGCCCCTGATCGGCTGCACATAGAACTAGCATAGTACGAGTACAGAGATGAACTTTCTAGCATCGCACCTGCGATTTGCAGAATTTGCATGGATTCGGGATGACGCCGGCATTCGAGTGAACTGAGGTGATCACAGTTTCGTGATCCTCTAAACCGTCGACGGGCAGATAATCACTAATTGAGCTGACATTGCGTTATAGACAGGACATATGCCGTTTTGAAACACATTAGGAATGAAATGCAAATGGTTGGAAAACGGAAGGCTCGTGGGGATGATAAAATCATTCCTCTATCCGAATTCAGAGGGCTATATGGATCCGTTATATGCATGAGGAAGCCAGCGTCTAACTTGGCTGCTAGGGTTATCGGACAAGGCAAGTAAGTAACTTAGGTCACCAATCCAGAACCGGTTCACAACAAACTCATCAAGACCCGCCCGCAGTCATTAGTATTCATTAGGGTTGTTCCTGAATTCCTCCTTCTTATTCTACAGTGGCGCAATTGTATCGTGCCAGTTAATGACAACGCACCTTCCCTCTAAAGAGAGAAGAGGAAACAAGGGCAGGTGCTCGAGTACTGACATGGCTCTAGGATTGTACTTTCCCTATCCGTGGATTCAAGAG